CGATGGAGGACTCCGCTCTTTGAGCTTGACATAGATGGCGTCGGCTCTGACCACCTAGTGAAGGAGGCGGGTGGAGATGGGGAATGGGCGACGGAAGATAGATAACTGCCCGCTTCGTTCCAGTCTCGCTTCGACCCAATGTCGATTCGTCCCTGGCATGAATTGGCCCCCACCTGCTGCTTTGGCAGAAATCCACCTCGGCCAGACACTGTTCAACTGAGACACGCGCTTCGTCTCAGACCCTCTTCGTCTCCATGACACTGAACCGCAACCAAAACGCGCCTGGGAGGTGCGACAACGGAGCGGGCCAGGTTTGCCAAAAAGGAACGGAGCGAAGAAAACGCGGGACGTTATGTAGCAGGACCCAGGGGCACGAAACCGTAGCAGGCGAAATGAGGAGGGATGATGAGAAGGGGGGGGGGGGTAGAATTACGGAAGGGGAGGGAAGATAAAGGAGGAGGGTGGGAGGAGGCACCCAAGAGGAAGCATGACGATGATCGTCAGGCGCGCGTGGTTCCAACAAGCGCTAGCTGTAGTCTACAGTGTTCGGTATTGGAGGACAAAGATACTCGCACGGGTCGTGCCCCTCAGGGAGCGCAACCTGCGGCAACCTGCGGCCCCAGAGACGGGCTTGGCTAGCGTTCCCCCGCCCATGTCGGCACACCCACCACAGGGATCGCCCCACAGCGGGCTCCACCTACGTCCCCAGAGACAAGCTTCGCACAGTGGCACGCCCCTCACGCGGATCGTGCCCCGCAAATAGCTACATGTGCGGCACCAGAGTGAAGCTGTTTGCTTCTTTGGGCCCTCTCGGGGGGCCTCTTGAAACCTTCTTGGAGCGTCTTGGGCGCCTTCCGGGACGTCAGAAAGCCGTCGTGGGGCGTGCTGGGGTTGTCGTGGGTCTCCCGGGGATGGCTCGTGGCGTCTCGGAGCGGTCGTTCCGCCTCCCCGGGGCGCCGTGGGAGCATTCTGGGACCGGCCGACCCCGGTCCCCCCTTGCCCCGTCTGGCCCTGGGCCCCTTGCGCCAGGGCCTCGTGCACTGGGATATGTGTGTATATCGTTGTACACAACTACATGCATACATGCATGCATGCATACATACAGACATACGTACGTACGTACATACATGCGCGCATGCATGCATGCATGCATGCATACAGCCATACAGACATTCACACATACATACATATATGCATGCACACACAAACGTACAAACATACATGCATACATGCATGCATACATACATACATACATGCATGCATGCATGCGTACATACATACACATACACACAAACATACATACATACATACATACATACATACATCCATGCATGCATGCATGCACGCATACATACATACATACATACAAACATACATACATACATACATACACACATACATACAGGCATGCATACATACATACATATATACATACATACGTGCATACATACATGCATACATACATACATACATTCATACATACACACATGCACACATACATACATACATACACACATGCATACATACATACATACATACATACATACATGCATGCATGCATGCATGCATGCATACATACATACAGACATACATACATACATACACACATACATATATCCATGCACGCACGCATGCATGCATGCATGCATGTATACATACACACATAACTACATCCATACATACATGCATACATGCATGCATACATACATGCATGCATGCATGTATGCATGCATGCATGCATACGTACATACATACATACACCATACGTACAAACATACATACATGCATACATACAGGCAGGCAGGCAGGCAGGCATGCAGGTAGGCAGACAGACATACAGTCATGTATACACATGTATTCGCCTCTTCGGTCTGAAGAGCGTCTGAAAACGAAGAAGATCCCACGATGACTCCAAAACGGAAAGGGCCTGGAAAAAGCCGGAGAGGCCGCCAAGACGGCCCAAAGAGGGGCAGCCCGAACTGATATTTCAAGCGCTTCCCCGCAAAATGGTCCCGGGGCCCACCAGCAAGACCCCCAAAGGCCCCGGAGAAGTCCTCGGTGGCCCTCAAGAAGTCCTCAGAGGGCCCCAAGAGGCATCCAAGAGTTTCAAGAGGCCTCTTGTCCACGACCCAGGCACGGTGGCGGGATGGGCTGAAGGCCACATAGAAGAACACACGAGAAGGAACATGCAGATGAGAGATCCACTGACACCCCTCTTGATGACACTGCATGCTGCTGCGCGCCCATGGCCAATCAAGGGCACTCGCCTGGGGATCTTCTCATGGATAGATACAACGGCGCGAAGCGTCGTCAGCTCAAGACCCACGTGCTTCGCAGTGGGACGGGGACCTGGCAAGCATGGGTCACGCCCGAGCGGCGAGGGAGAGCGCCGACGGCACAGCAGAGCAGCTGCTCGAGGAGGCAAGGGAGCGGACACCTCGGGCACCCTGCTGTCGACGAGCGTCAGAAGCCGGCTGCGCACCCTGCGGGGCGGCGCGGGTGCATCGGGGTGCTTTCCTTCCATGTCCCTGCAGGGTCTGCCAAAGTCCACCAGCGGCCACCTAAGAGAGCCTAGGTCGCTGTGATAGTGCACCTGCGCTCTCCCATCGACTCGCCTCCCAATCGCTGGCGGACTTTTTCCACGGTCATGCAGTGCTGCTCGCTGCTGAATGCACAAGTGGCAACTGTAGACAAGCCTGCGTCGCTGTGGTCGGGCACCTGCACACTCCCACCAACGCGTCTCGCAATCATAAGCAGAATCCCCCCCTGCTGGAAACCGTTGATCAATCGCGCTGCTGTCTTACCTCGGAGGCGCCCGAGGGCGACTTACGCGAGGATGCCGCTGGCCTGATCCTTCCAGCGAGATCGAGACGCCGTCATGACGCCCTGACCCTCGGACCTCTCCCGAAAGACATTACCACCACAAAAACCAAGGAGAATCCAACCGTGGTGACGAGGCGTCTCCAGGACGAGCAATGGTACTGAAATCTTTTTCCCCTGTAAGATAGAGCCGAACATAATATTAAGAGCACGGACATTGAAAAACATCTGGGCCAGCTTCCCGGAAATATCTTAAAACAAACCTGGGCCGACTTCTGTTTTTGACGCTAGAAAGGCGAACGGGCTTAAGAAACTTGGCCAGCCTTCCTGCAAGTTTGTTTAAAACCGCTGGCCCAGCTTTTCGGGAGGAGGCTTCTCAATCAGATGCTTCACTGTAGCTACAACATTGGGTGGTTCGTTATACTACAGATAACCAGTTGGTGGCCGAAGGATGGGAACAGAAACGATATCTTCAGCAACGTACTGCTGCCAATGATGTTGAATTGTGGTCCCAGATTGGCCGACACTTGTATGACACGGACAGGGCATGTCATGTAGTCATGATGTTCATCAATGCGCATCTTAGGATGATGAAGCAAAATAACAAACGATCCCCCAGGTGTAGGATTGAAATAATAAGGTTTGCGGACACCGCTGCAGGAGAAATAGCTCTAGCGGCGAGAACCCCCGAGAAGATGAGCGACCGTATCAGTCGTGTTGAACACAAAGCCATTTGGATCGAAAGTGATTGCTGCGTGCACATACGCATGCATTCGAAGCCGATCCTCGGCAGAATTCTCAACGCAAGAAAAAACATCATCGGCCTCCGCCTGCCCCCAAGATTATCGCGCGACTGTGCTCGCAGCACGCTCTGCATGATAGCGGCCGGTCGTGCACTGCTTGTCGCGGATCAGCCACGCAGAAGGCCCTTGTAGATTGGTTGCGGACCCCTGTTTTAAGCTTGAGCCCGTCGACGGAGGTGCCTGCCCCAAAACATATTCATTGTGGTAGGGGGTGAAACCATGGCTCTCGCAAGCTCTTTTACCACTCCGACCTGGAGTTGTGGTCTTGCGGTGCATGTGTGTATTTGAAGATCTTCTGCTAGCTCCCAACTTCATCCCTTGAAGGGCACGTGCGATGGGAACCCAACGGACACTACTCGTAAACACTTGTTCGGGATTGATTCGGGCCTTCGGCATGAGGTCCTCTCTCAAAGAGAGAGGCCTGCCTCTCAAATAGAGAGGCCTGCCAGAGGTCGCGACCCACCGTAACTCATAATCAACACTACTCGTTTTACCTCTTCCGTTCCATTCCATCCCATTCCATGTCATTCCATTCCGTCCCACTCCATCCCATTCCTCCACCTCCTCCTCGAGCCCCTAAGATCAAAGCGTCGCACTTTTTGTCACACTGGATGTATTCGCCATGTTTCGGGCCCAGGCTCAAATAATGCATCCGATCGGTATGGCACTTCCCGACATGAGTATCATGAAAATGATTCATGGTATGGACCTCCGAAAAGAGAACTAGGATTGGAAGTTGTGTTGCAACATCGTGGATGCGCCTTGGGTCCACGGTCAAGCATTCTTGCTTGGAGAGCGACCTGCGTGCCAGCTCCCGGAAGAGCGGTCCTAGAAAAAAGGCAGGCGGCGCAAAACATATAACAACTAGGGGCAGCAGCAGGCAGTGTGCAACCGAAGAGCCTGACGAATGTGTGCGGGGGCCCTTTTTTCGTGACAGCGACAGAAGAGTAACTGAGACAACAGTCGTGGGAAACATGCACAACACCGCTTATCCCACTTAAGTGGGAAAGGTGGTTTCTGACCACCGAACTAACCTACTCATGTTTCAAGGACCCTTTGAGACAATGGTTCCAATTCTCTGCGCTGCCGTGCGCCTTCCTAGCAACAAAATGCGTACTCCTCTTAGGCCGCGTGGCGGCCCAGCTTCTGAAACCCCAATGAGCGCATCTTGCCTCCGCGCGCGCCATTGCCCGCCGCACGTAGTCTACCCGCGGTTTTTCGTCCCCTCTCGGGGCGCGAAAGTGAGCAGATTCGAAGCCGGCTAGACCGGGAGGCCCTCGACCATGGCAACGTAAAGAAAAATGCGAGGACGCCTGCGACACGGTGCAAGCATGGAAAAAATGCGAAATGCGAAACGAGTGTGACAAAACCACCTCTCAGAGACTGGGCTTCTGTAGTACGCACTCCTTTGCGTCACATTTCTCGTGCTCGTACTTCGGCGTGATACGTTGTCCATTGCACTTGAGATAATTTGCGTTCCTCTGGGGGGGGGGTCCGGTGTAGGTGGCCGGAATCTGTCAACACGAGAGATCATCCGCGCCGTCTTCCGCCAGATCATGCGCATCATGCGACAAATCTGCACGTTGAGTGTCCAGCACTCGAATCCGTGTACCGTTATTGGCGTGACCACGGCGTCGATAAAAAAAACTGCAACCTGGACCGAAGCGGGTGAGATCTTGAACGCAGCGTGCCCCAGAACTTCGCAATGCAGCCCCATGTTCCATTCGCCTTGCTAGACGATTCGGAACCGTTATAACTCTCAAAGCAGAGGCGCCGTCGAAAGTACTTCTCGTACTTCGCTGGTGGGACTACGTGTACGTCAGCGCCTCCACTTTCGATGTAGAAACGCAAATTCAAGCCGCCAGTCGTAAGTATCTTCCCGGCGTCTCCACCACCACTCCGTAATTACGCCCCTGTCCCCGCCTGTTAAAGCCTTGCCACCGCCTATTAAGTTTTCGACAGCAAACTTCCATCACGGCTATAAGAAACAACGCGCTGATAGGATGGCCTTGCGCGACGCCACGGGATAACATAAAACTCCTCGGTGTAACCCCGGCAGAGACCGACGCAGTTCGATGCCTGCACAGCTTTTGGAGAAGCGCGATGTGCCCTTCACCAACATGCAGAATGCGAAGAACTACCGAAGATCTTCCTAAAGACTCGCTCGCTCAACCGTATCGAACGCCTTCTCCAAGTCCACCAGTCCAAGCCAGACGTCCTGGGTCCACTCCGCGCAACCTTCCACCAAGACTATAATCGACAACGTGCGGTAAACCGTTCAGCTCTCCTTCCTGTCCGCTGCTTCGTACGGTGACTGCTGCGGGATGATATTCGCTTCTCGGCGGTCGCATAGTATCCGCGCAACAAGCTTAAGCATGACAGGTAATATTGCAAGTGGGCGGTAGATGTTGGCACGCCTGGCGTCGTCCTTCTTGATCGCGACCACCGAGCGCGTTTTTCTCCAAATGCCCGGAATATTCGCATCAAGCTGCATGGCGCCAGTGCACAATCTCAAAATCGCTCATCGGAGAAGTCGTCCGCTATACTTGACCATCTCCTCAGATAACCTCGACTCGTCGCAGCATCGGCCGCGCTTCTCATGAGTTGGAGTTTCCGCGAGCCTCACCATCGTGAAGTCAGGAACTGGTGCTGTACTGATGACACCACCAGTGCCTGGAAGCTGCGCTGTATAGAACTTCTCAAGGGACTCAGCGGAAGCCTCTGTAATCTCGCCCTTCGACGCATGTTTCGCGCTTCCCTCGTCGAAGATACTCGCTACGTGTGTCTTCTGCTGCAGACGCCCTGCGCATGGCATGGAAGACAAGCCGCGGAAGTCGTCAAGGAGTGACTAAATTGTTGCTTTCGGTTTGTCCCTGGGCCTGCGGGGGACTAGCTTCTTCTCGCGTTTGGAAACATCCACCCTGCGGCGCTTCCCCCCCGACGGGTCAAGTCACTTTGTTCCATCGCTTTCTACAAATAGGGAGCTCGCTCCGACGACTGTACTTCGTTCAAGCTGCTCCTCGCGAGGTCGGCTGCCAGCTTCGCAGCGTATCTCTTCTTATCTCTCCTTGGTCCCGACTTCAATATTCATTACCTGGTGTATTGTCCTTGTGATCCGATGCCACACTAAACTGCAGTCGAATTGCTCTGTGGTCAGCACCCGTGTAGAACCAGCTAGCAACTCCACATTTGCAAGTGTGGGCGTTGTACTTCCTTTCCGCAATTTCATATTCCAGTTGCTTGCGTAAGCGCCCGTTCGAATACGCCCATCAATCGTAGCTGTGATCGTCGGGGGACGTATTTGCCAACAGAAACGGATGATACACGCACCATTGAAACAACAACTCCCCTCTAACATTTCAAACCTGGAATATTGCTCGAGCCCATCGTGTCATCGTCTTCATGTGCAACGCGTGGCCCGACTTCCGCAGTAAAGTCGCCTGCCAGCACCAGGCGCGTCCCTGCTCGACCCCCCTTGATGAACACATCGTCCAAGACAGTACAAACAATCTCCACAGTTTCGTTGTCCACCGCTGCGTGGGGCATGTATACTCCGACGATGTTTAAGTGCACGCCGCCAACGTTGATTCCGAACACGGCCACTCGATCGCAGACTGCCTTGAACGAGGTGTGGTCCACCTCCTGCGCATGAGCATGCCGATGCCGTTGCGGCCATTGCTGCCTCCGCTGCCGAAAGACGTCTGTCCCCCAAATGTTGTAAATACCTCACGCGCCTTCTCCCCCCACGCCTTTGTAAAACGCTCAAGACATGGTCCAGCCGCTCTGCGGAACTTATGAACGAGGGGTTGTTGCATGCGAAAGCGACCAGCTTCGTAGTACTAGATACTGAGTTTGTCCCAAGCGGCACTGGGACATCCCCAGAAATAGAAGAACACACTCCTCGACCAACTCCGGCACCACGCGCGCAAGTAGACGGCTGGCCAGGCCATCCAGGAGTTCTTGAACATGCCTTTGTTTGTGCACTACGCGTACGGGTACGGTTTTATGGTGCGCGCTTCCCTCCCTTCGTTAATCCCTTCGTCGGCTACAGTCCTCACCTCCTCCGCCTCGTCCTTCAAAACCATCTCGACGTCGTCGTTCACCCAAACGGCCTTGGCCATCTTCAGGCTCACGGTGCCCTTCCGCCAAAATTGATCTGGACATTGTTCTGAGAGGAGCTGTTCTGCTCAAACAAGCCGTCTGTAATCATCCCCAACGTCCTGTCCTGGACCCTCTACTCGAAAGTCCAGTTGTTAGTCAACAGTAGCGAGATCCCACCATCCTCGTCTTTGGCCAGGTTCTTAATCTTCCTGTAGAAGCCGGCCTTCGCGGATAGCGACTAGAACTGGGAGACACCAGTCCAGGAAAGGTCGGTGAAGGTTAACCTCTGCTCACTTTGTTCCGTCGGGAGCCCTCGATAATTTGAACAAAATGATCCTCGTCGGCATTTTCCTCGAAGCCTCCTACAACTTCCTGCAAATCTCTGTTGACTTCGCTTTCACATCCTGGATGTAATCCTTCCTCTCCTTGTTTGTGCTGCTTCGTGGTTTGGCCGTGGGTGTGCTTTTGTGCCGAGCAACAAGTCCACAATCATCTCTTTCACAGCGTCTGTCTTCTGTCATGTATTGTGTGTCGAGTTGCGTCCTCAGCACCTCCAATTTTTGCGCTAATCTCCGCTGCCGCCTGAGCATCGGAGGTTGCAGCAGCAGCCACCGGCGCCTCGTATTTCGCGTTCTGCGCGACAGTCTGGACCTCGTCAAGTTTGTCGGTGAGCTTCGGGAGTTTGGATGCGAATCGTGTCTTGAACTTTATCATGTAGTTCTTGAACCATGGAGATGGCTCCACCTGGATCACTTCGACGCTGCCGCCGTCCTTCCCTACATCCATTTCCAACTTTGAACTGTCCCCGTCGTCGATTGCTACGTCATCCCGGATAGCGATCGCCTTCGCCTTGCGGTTTGCTTTCCGGCGACGCCCCTGTTTTCGCACCTCCACTTGTCCGTTGATCGACATTTCTTCATCATCACCAGGCGGGGAGCAAGAAGCAAGAAGCCATATGTGACAATCGCACAATGAGTGAGAAAACGTAGAAATTAATAAAGATCGCGAAACAACATGGCAACCGCGACCCAGCGACAGAAAGAAACCATGTCGCTCCGCTCCGCGAGGGGCGGGAGGCTCGAAATAAGCTCGGGGCGTTGACGGCTGGGGATGGGGAAGTAGCCAGCGTGTCGCGACGCGGCGTGGCGGGCCAGAACCATCGGAGCGACAAGCCATCCGAAAGCTCCCGACCGTACGCGAGTCTTCCTCCTCCTCCTCAGCTACACGTAAGAGTGACCCTAGGCAAGAGTGATCTTTTTGGTGCGCGACTTCCAGGGGCCGCTGGGAGGCCGAACCGGAGCGCGCAAGCCGCTGTTACGGCATCGCATCCGGCAACCTGGGGACCCCCCCTCTGCCCGCATCAAAGGTCACTCCTGCGAAAGGTCACTCTTACGTATTGCCGATCCTCATCCTGGCCCCCCGCTCGGTAGAGGCCTCCTGGATGGGATCGGAGTAGATGGGGTCGGAGAATCGCGCCGCATCGCCGATACATCGGCGATGCATCGGCGATGCATCGGCGATGCATCGGCGATGCATCGGCGATGAACCTGCGATGCCTCGTCGACGTCGGCGATGCATCGCCAACGTCGACATGGAGAAAATCGGGCTGCACATCGAGCCGCATCGCCAATGCATCGGCGATGCGGCGCAATCCTCCGACCCCATCTACTCGGACCCCATCTGGGAGGCCTCAAAAATAGCTGATCCTCCCCGCTGACCCTAGAACTAGGAACAACAACACATAAACATACACTTTTGGCGCTCCGCGCGGATTTCTTGGATCCGCGCTGGACCCCCCTCCCTTGAGCGCGGAGCGCGCCAGGGGCGGCGCCGGAGGCGCCGCTGGGGGGCCCCAGCGCGGACCCCAGAAATCCGCCCGGAGCATCAAAAGTTTATGTTCATGTGGTTTTTCCTTCTTCGATGACCCCCCTTGGCGGCGCGCACAGGGGGGTGGAGGGAAGCGGGGTGGGCTTGGGGGCTTCTTAGAAGGAGGCTGCTTCTTAGAAGGCGCCTGCCTTACATCCATAGGGGCCCGCGCCTTCTAAGAGGCAGGGGTGCTGCTGAGAAGCCCTCCCCCCTCCCCCCCCAGAGATCCGATGTCGTGATTTTGTCAGTGCGGGGTCCCCGGAGGAACTGACCCCTTCCCCGGGACCGGTTTTTCATGCTGAGTCGTTTTCTGACGGTCCTGGGGCCCGGCGAGGGCCCCTATAGAGGCCGACAAGGGCGAAAAACCTCCGCCTTGATTTTTTCAATGCGTTGGATCTCTGGGCCTCCGCAGCCCGGCCTGGTCAGGAGCACCACGGCCTCCGGGTCCAGCTCGAACAGCGACACCGTGTTGGCCCGGCCGGCGTCCTGCCCCGCGGCGCGCGCGGCGCCCGCGAGGGGCCCCTCGGCGGCGCCGCCCCGCTCGCGGCCGGCCCAGTCCGCAGCGGGAGTAATGCGGGATGACGATGGATGACAAAAACGGGAGAGAACGATTCAGGAACAGTTTTCTGCCATTCCTGCACAAGTTTCTGACTGGAGGGAAACGATTCAAAAAATAGTTTTCCAGCCCGCGGCCGGTTTATTCTAATCGTCATCCCGGGCGCCGCCGCGTGAACACGACCCCCGGTCATTTATGAATCGTCATCCTCCATTATTTGAGGCAAGGTCCAGCCCAGCCCAACACTGCCCGAGCAAAAACAACCCTGCGCCTCTCCACAACAAGTAAGTCGGGCACGTCCCCCTACAGGAGGATTTTGGACGAAAAAAGAAAAAGGACACCCCCAAAAATATACAAAAGAGGTCAAGGAATATTCACAAAAAATCCACCGACTATTTTTTTACTATTTTGAGGAATATCAATCATGTAGAGGGACACGCCCGACTCAAGGCAAGGTCCAGCCCCGCTCAACGCTGCCCGAACCCCAAACAAAAAGCCTGCGCTTCTCCACAACGACCGTGGCGCCAGTGGGCGCGAGGAGGGATGGGGGCAAGGATCTCAATGGGCCCTGGATCCGACAAAGCCGTTTTTTTGCACCGGTTCCGTTCTGCCGCTTTCGTGCCGGTTCCGACGCCGTTTTTTCTGCCGTTTCCGTCGCGGTTGTTTTGCCCGTTCCGTCTTTGGTTCCAATCCCAGGACCATTTGTGTTGCCTTTTCCTGTCGCCTTTTTGTTGCCGCTTCCATGTTCAAGAAACATTTTTTCCAAAATTGTGAATAAACGGCCCTGACGCTTCAAGGGCCCACTGAGCCAAGGAGGGGGTGACGAGAGGGGGCGTAGGGGACTTCGCAGATGAGGAGGGAAGCGGAGGAGGCGGAGGAGGGAGGGGGGATGAGGGAAAGAAGGGGGGGGGACAGGGAGGAGGCGGAGAAGGCGGAGGAGGAGGCGGAGGAGGAGGCGGAGGAGGGGATGAGGAAAAGAAAAGACCAGGATGGGAGGGGGAGGAAGAGGAGAAGGGAGGGGGGGAGAACACAGGAGGAGGACGAGTCAGAGGATGTCGCCTTCCCTCTGCCCTCGTCCGTCTCCCCACTGCCCTCTCCGCTTTCTCAGGTAACGTCTCCCCCTCCCCGGTTGAGCTATCTCCTGCAGTTCTGCGCTATCGCCCTATCGCGTCTTCACTCTCTTGAGTTGCCAATGTGTGCATGTATAAGGGCATGGCTGCGTACATATATGTATATATATATAGACCTGTATGTTGTGTACACCGCCGCCTTAATGCTGCCACCTGTTGATGTTGGCAGAGCTTGTGAATTGCCCGCCCATGAGTATATACTGCGTTACGGGCGCAGCCTGTAAGATTTCTTGTAAGAATCTGACTGACTTCGCACGGGCCATTACGTGGCAATTTGATCCGCGGGCGGGGCGTGGGTATTCTTATCACGGCTTTTCTGGGCGGGAAGGTGTGGGCATTAGGGAGGCAATTTCAAGCGGGGTGGGATGAAGATATTCCGTTTGCAGTTTGAGACGGGTGGCTGAAGGTATGTGGGTTGCAGTCTTAGGCGGGTTGTTGGAATGTTTGGGTGGCAGGTGTAGGCGTGCGGGGGTGGATATGCGAATGGCGGTTGTACGCGGGTGGGTGAGGATACGTCGGTGGCAGTTTTAAGCGAGTGTGTGAGGATAAGAGGGTTGCGGTTCCAGGCGGGTGGGTGAGAATACTTGAGTCGCATTCTCAAGCGTGTGGGTGGGGCTATCGGGGTTGAAATTCTGGGTGGGCGGGTGAAGGAATTGCAATCGAGCGTATTGCGCGGCACTGCCCCTGTATACGTGCTCGCCCTTTGGCGTTGGTTAAGCAAAGAGGGCAAAAGCAAGAGGTGAGCTGTCCTGCGAGTGTGCTGCTGTGCAGGCCTGTTGTGGCACCTTGCTGCGTCGATTGACACTCGTATGTGTTGCCTCATCATATCAACGTAGGGGTTTATATAGCGTGTTCACGCTTTTCGTCACTTGTTTTACTGGTGTGGCGGCATCGTGGTAAGCACGCGCAGCTATCGTCGATGGTGTTCTGAGTGGTTCTGATGTTGAATGCATTCCACAGGAACTTGTTGGCGGTGTGCTTGCTTGTTGCTGTTCGAATTTATCATGATGCAATGTCTGGCAGTCATGTCTGAATGTCCTTTGGACGCATTCGGCTTGTGTGAAGCCTCTGCGCCGCAATTGTACCCAACGCTGCAACACTCCCACTTGCCAACCGGTCTACCTACCCAACGGCCCATGATCATTTACCCTTCTTTGCATAATGCCCATGAAACTCGGAATGCCAATTACGCGTGAACCCAACCGCACACATGAGCGATCACATGAGGTACAGCACCTCTATGGTCTGGTCCTCACTCCTGGTGGACCATCAATTACAACAATCGAGCAATAACATCAAACTAATTGAACCGATGCGCGAACATCTGCCAGGCGCTCTGATATTGCCGATGCTGCAACCATTTTGCAGCTGCGCATGCGAAAGCGATATAGTGGCGAACTGTGTGGCTCACATGCTGGGGGGGGGATGCAGCGAGCGTCCATCGCCATCCAGTAGCCCGTGGTGTGCTCTCGGTGCTTCAGCGCGCAACACGCCTGAGCGCGAAAAGGTTGCCGGACTATGGGCGAAGGATGCGACACACATCAGGGAAAGACATCCCGCGCCTTAGAACCAGAGGGAGGATGAGCAGAGCAAGGGAAGAAAGACGCGATCCTCCTCGTCCTCCTTTTCCCCCGCTTCCTGCTCATCTCTTGTTTCACCATATCTACTCACCACCGCATCGTAATTTTCTCCCCACGTCCAAATGTGGGTATGTCGTCGTTCCACCCCTCCCAACCCGAGCCTCACTTCCTCCTCGCCTCACGCCAGCAAGCTCACCTTCACCCTCACCCTCACCCTCACCATCATCATCATCATCATCATCATCATCATCATCATCATCATCGTCATCATCATCATCATCATCATCATCATCATCATCATCATCATCATCATCATCATCATCATAATCATCATCATCATCCTCATCCTCATCCTCATCCTCATCCTCATCCTCACCCGTTCCGAACGCTGCTGCGTGCGACGAATTCCGCATTCGGGCTCTCGCTGCTCCCCCTCCGCTGCTCCTTCGCTCTGCTCCTTCTTGTGGGGCACCGCTGGCAGCGTGAGGGGCCCGCGCGGCCGAACCCCTCGCTTCTTCTTCTTCGTTGAACAGAGAACGAGGCATTGGCCAGAGCTGACGCCGCCGCTGTCGTGGCCTGGGGGCCACCTGCTCGCCCTGCAAGAGGCCCGCCTGTGGGCGCCGTGTGCGTTTGGTTTCCAGCGTGGGTCTGTTACTATCGAAAGGGTCATGAAACAAACGTTGAAACACATATTATGCCTATCAATGCATATGCGGTCTGGCAAATGGGACCAGTCAAGACACACACACACACACACACTGTGTGTGTGGCTTGCCCCGCGCCGCACCGCGCTGCCGGCAACCGTGCAGCCTGTCCAGCGGCGTGCCTGCTGGCACTGCGGGCAGGCCCGACGTGCGCCTGTCGAGGCACGCCGGGCCTGCGCGGCCCGCCCGCTGGACGGGCGCGGCCCGTGGTGCACGGCGCCGGCCGAAGAGAGCTCCTCCTCCTGCTCCTCCTCCTGCTCCTCCCACTCCTCCTCCTCCTCCTCCTCCTCCTCCTCCTCCTCCTCCTCCTCCTCCTCCTCCTCCTCCTCCTCCTCCCTCCTCCTCCTCCTCTTCCTCCTCCTCCTCCTCCTCCTCCTCCTCCTCCTCCTCCTCCTCTGCGGGGGGCGGCGGTCCTCCTCCTCCTCCTCCCTACCTCCCTGCCTCCTCTGCGCTAACCCCCTATCCCTAAGATGGGCGAGCAAGGAGCGAGGACAATCTTAGAGATGTGCCCTCAGAAAGTGGGGGAACCCTCAAGATCGGCGTCGAGGTGCGGTGGTGTCAAACACAGGGATAGTAAGGAGCCGAACTCTATACATCGACGCCTTTGTCTGGCCTCACACTGAATCTCGCACAGGAAAGCGGATCCTGGTGTATACGGGATCCTGATGTATACATTCTTCGTTCTCTCCCTGGGAAAACGGGGACAACAAGTATACACCTCACCACCCCGACGTCGTCCCCGACCCTCAAAAGAGTCCTGGGATTGAAAAACCGCCCGCCACTGGTAATGTATATTATCCAGTTTCCGAGATAGGGGTATGCTTCGAGCTGGTAAGTTCGTTCCTGGCAAAGCAATCGTTGCAGTCCCCATCCGCGCATCGGGCACAGCACGCGCATCCATCCGCCGACTTCGCGGGTCAACCTCACAAGAAACAGAACAAGTAGCCTGGCGACAAACCCAACCATGTGCGGCTGCGAGTCCCGCAAGGCACGTGGAACGAAGGAGGGGGCGAGCAAACTGCGAACAGCGTCTGATGCGGCTCTCAACCAGGGACGGGGCTAGCGCCGAGACTGGAACACCGTTCTCAATTACAGACGTGGCCGGAGCTGAAACGAAAGCACCGCTCCCAAACAACACTGTGGCCGTCGCTGAGGCGAGAACAAAATTCAGACATGTTTGAGGCGACAGCTTTATACTTTCTAGCAAAATGCGTTTCTGTCGAGGCGCCAGAGCCGGAACATCTGGAACGACTCAACAGGACCGACTGTGCTCACAGCTCTGGCGAGCAGGGCAGGCGGGAGAGGCAAGGGAGAGGACAGGACAAGACAGGACACTCGTATCGCGCCGAGGCGAGCTCTGTGGCAGCCTGGGCGGAAAGCACCGCAGCGCTGAGAGGTGGACCATGGGGGAGCAGTTTCAGAATCAACATTCTCGCTCCCATCCAAGCAAGACGAAACAAATACGCTTCTTCCAGCTGGTGCCATGCGGCTCCACCAGCTGAGCGTGCGAGGGAGGCAGGCAACAGGGCAGGACAACGACCATAAAAAACCGACACAGAATTGCGATCAACAGCGATGAACAGATTTCCACCATGTCGGGGCAAGAAGGGGGGAGGAGCACAGAGAAGCAACAAATACCGATGAGACTACCAGACAACAAAGGAACAACTCATGTGAATCATCGTGCCCAAGTTCGCCCAAATACGCGCAATAAATCCAGTGATCCTTAAGAGGGTTCCTCAGATACTCCCCGACAGGCTCCAAGCATGTCCCTAAACACGCCCCCACTATGCCTCCAAGAAGCCCCAAATCCCGAATCGGCAACGCAGCCCGCGATGCGACCGTACCGAGCTGCAGCAGCGTATTGCGTCGCTGCTTCCAACGACGGCCCCGAGATAGCTCTGCCCAGAAATTTCGGGAGAGCCCGTGAAAGAAATCACGAACTGCACTCAAATAACATTTCTTCGAGGTCCGCGCGGATTCCTTAGATCTGCGCGGACCTCCGAGAACGTGTGCTTATGCAGTTTCTTGTCCTTCCACTCGTGGAATGATCGCCCCCAGGAGATGGCCAGAGGGCGGCTCACAGGGCAGGGAGCACAGGGAGGCCCCCGCATGGCAATGGTCACGCCGAGCCTGCTCAGGATACGCTCGGCAGATCAATCCCGCGCACACGTCGATGCTGCGCTTGCACGGCGTCGCTGAACAGCAGACCCGTGGATCAGCAGTAACGCCAACGGTAATGGGTCTGGGAGGTGACAATATGATACGAGACAGACGATATCCAACAGAGGATTGGCCCAAGGAGCACGAAACGGCTGTCTGAAAGAACCTTGAGCGAGCGCCGAGCCAGCTTTGCATCTACAGCAACTACATACGATTAGAAACCATGCCCCGAGAAAACTAGGGGCACGTGCAGATATTGTTTGCCGGCCGTCACCAAGCTTCGTTTCCATGGAAGCTGCCGAAGAAACGCTGGGCCATTAAGACGAGGGGGACGCTGTTGGTGATCGGCGCACGCGTAAGTGCCTCAAAGACGCTGCATGCACCCAGTATTCCAGGGACTTACTGGATGCGCCACCCGTCGGGAGGGTACTGCATTCGCCTGCTTGTGGTGCCGGTTGCCACCTGGGATCCAGGAAGGAGAAGAAAAACGATCAGCAGGGCAAGGAGGAGAAGAAAGAAAGGCCTAAAATGACATGGACCCCCGGGCCTCCACGTCCCACGGCCATGCCGCCTTCCTTAGCGAAGGGGTGAAGCTGCCTGGCGGAAGGCTTGGAACTGCAAGTTGCGGCCGCACGAGCCGAACTTCGACCTCCAGCCACACACCTTCTCGCGCGCACATTCGCAGGGTGATGGGCAGGGGAAGAGGACAATTGAGAAGAGGAGCAAGGGGACCAAGATGAGCAGACGGATGACGATACGTGGACAAGCCGCAGCGTCGAGAACTGCGCAGAATCCACCAGCATGAACCCCTTCCCTCTGCAGACCTGAGCAACGTAGTGGCAATGCAATTGCACCATACCTCTGCAGCACATCGTATGACCGAACCTGGGGCAAACACCGTGGGCGTCTGATACTGCGAAGAGCGAAGCGGCCATCAACTGTTTTCGCTGAAACTGTTAATCTTCCCCCCGGGAAATAAAATATCTTAGCCGTGCAGCGTACGGCGGAACGCCTAACTCCAAAAAAGCAAGCTTGAAACTTCAGCCTTGAGCTTGAGCTTCTGAGTGCCGCTGTTTCGCTGCCAGAGCTTGAGCTCATGCTCATGTTTCTGCGTGCGGGCCGAATGTGTGGTTTAAGGAGGTCCAAGGAGGAGCGAATCACGCACCGCAAACCATGACGACGACAACAAAGTAGACGGTATGTTTGCATTGCAAGTGTTGTTGCAGTGCAATGTGTTTTGCAATGCAGTGTTCGCCTGCTTGGAAGAGCCTCTGTGTCGCTGCTAGAGGCTGGAGCTCGAGCTTCAGAATATGGTTGTGCGTGCGAGTCGGATATGGTTTGAGGAGACGGCGACAACTCTGGTTGCATTACAACTGTTTTGAGTAACCAGTTTGGTGCATTGCAATTGATTTTGAAATTTAGTGTTGGTCTGCTTCGGAGAGCCGCTGCTTCGCTGCCAGAGCTTGAGCTTACGCATATGACTCTGCGTGCGAAGCGAATGTGGTATGAGGAGGCACAGGGAGGTCCGAAGCGCGCAGGACCAGCGAGGGACGGATGGAGCGCACGAGGAGTGGAGGAGGTACGGGACGGGCGAGGGCAAGGGAGCGGAGGGAGCGGAAGGGGCGGGGCTCCCCGCTGCCACAGGATCACGCCGCAGCGCACCCGCGGGCAGGCGCGGCCCCCGCCGCCCCTCTCGGCGCAGGGCGCCGCGCGCAGGCCTCCTGCGAGGGCGCGGCCCCGCCGCCCCCGGGCGGCCGGGGCCCTCGAGGGAACGGCCCGAGGGCCGACCCGCTCTTTTTGTCGCACGGCGAGGCAGGCAGCACGGCGAGGCACGCCCGCATAATTAAGGGGCGCCGTCTGGGGTGCGGACGGTGCGGCGCCGGGGCGCTGGCGCACTAAGAGATTGAAGGAGGCAGCGACGACTCCCCCGCCTGGCCCGGATCCTCTCGAGATCGGCCCCCCAGACGCCTCGCAGGGCCCAGGCCGAAACGCTCGTCGGGGCGGGCCCCGCCGCTGGCGGTGCGGGAAGCCCTCCGGGGGAGCCCTCCAGAGGGGCGGGCAGGACGTCGAGGAGGGAACCTCGCGGGCATCTTGCAGCCTCCGCCCACCTGCCGTCCCCGCTGCAGTGGAGGCCCATCCACGTGAAACCTTCCGCACCAAGCCCAACCCTGAGACCCCAGGACGTCCATTGACTTTTGGTGTGGGGACGTCACGCTTTCCACAGCAAGACCCTCGAAGCCCAAGAAACCCAGGGCACCCTGGAGGCAAGCAGGGTGTTTCTTGGCATGGCCCTCCACTGTATCTGCCCCCAGTGGAGAGGGAGGCTCGTGGTCCACCCCGCCTGCCCGAGCGGCAGACACGAGCCAGACACAGCCGAGCTGGACGGGAGGCCAGACGATCGGCCTGAGTGTTCGCCCGAAGCCAGGCTCATTGATGTGGGCTGATGCCCTTCTGATGCCGAGCGTCTATGTGGGCGACATACAAACAGGGGGCTCACGCGAGATGACACAGCGAACTCAGGCGGCGGCTTGCGTGGGCCGCCGGCGCGGCACGCTGAATTGCAAATGAGGGCGCTCACGCGCGGCCTTACGCGGACAGCGTACGCGCCAATGTCGGCGCAGATGACCTCCTTTTCGTGCGTCGCGCATGTGCCTCTGGATGACCTGGCCCGTGGTCTGTCTGGCGCCCGCCCCTCCGCAGCGGGGCAGGTCAGACCATGGGAGGGGAGCTCTCACGGCGGCGCAAGGATTGGGCCCTGAGGGGCTGGGGCCATGAGCACGAGTGGCCTCGAGCAGTGAGAGTTCAGCTTGGGATCCGCTCCCTGCACGTGCGGGCGCCATCCCTCAGGGCTCCATGCTTGAACCGCCGACTCTCTCCCCCCCACACCCGTCGCCTTACCCAAGATTCCCGCGCGGGGTCTGCGGCGCGGGAATGTCTTGAAGCGCCCGCCGATCTCCTTCCGCCCTCCTTCTCGCCCCCCCTTCTGGAGGAGGCGGCGGAAGTAGGAGAGGGAGGAGAAGGGGGGGAAGAGGAGGAGGAGTGGGGGGAAGAGGAAGGAGGAGGGGGGAGTAGGAGGAGGAGGAGGAGGAGGAGGAGGAGGAGGAGGAGGAGGAGGAGGAGGAGGGAGGAGGAGGAGGAGGAGGAGGAGGAGGAGGAGGAGGAGGAGGAGGCGGAATGCGGAGGAGGAGGAGGAGGCAGAATTGGGAGGATATAGTGGGGGACGAGGAGTGGTCTCCCAGCACGGCGCCCGCAGCGCGGGGGGCTGGACCTCTCGCTCGCTCTCTCTCTCTCTCTATCCCCTCTCCCTCTCTCTATCCTCTCTCCCCTCTCTCTCTCTCCCTCTCTCTCTAGTTACCCTCTCTCTATCTATCCTCTCCCTATCTCTATCTTCTCTCTCTCTCTCTCTGTTAGCCTCTCTCCCTCACTCTGTTAGCCTCTCTCCCTCTCTCTATCCTCGCTCTCCCTCTCTCGCTCTCTCTCTCTCTCTCTCTGGTCGCCGCCGCCCCCCGCGGCGGGGCGGCGGCCGCGAGCGCGCCGATGTCCCGAAGCTCTTCGCGAAGAAGCAGCGGAACTTCCGCAGGCTGCCCGGGTCCGGCGCCGATGCCAACACCTCGCCCAGCGCCCCCCCGCCCTTCATTGGGAAGGAGGTGGGCGGGAGGGGGGGGGAGAGGACGTGATGAGGGGGAAGGGGAATGAGGAGTGGGAGGAGACGCAGGCAGAGGAGGGAGGGGGAGGACGAGGAAGGGGACGAGGAGCGACGAGGAGGACGAACGCGGAGGATGAGGAGCAGCCCGGCAGGAGGGGGGTCAAATATTGTTATGGTGACGACGGGGCGGGAAAGGAAGAGGACAACGACAAACCACCGCGGAGCGCGTCTCAAGGCGAGAGGGGAGGAGACGGCGGCGGCACTGAGGGAGGGAAGGGGAGGGGAGGGGAGGGGAGGGGGGGGAAGAGACACTGAGTGTCCTGGTCCGCTCGCATGGGGCGCGCCGCGGCGGCCCCATCAACCGCTCAGCGTGGAGGCGGAGGAGAATGAGGCAGGAAGGGGGGGATGATGATGATGATGATGATGATGATGATGATGATGATGATGATGATGATGATGATGATGATGATGATGATGATAATGATGATGATGCTGATGCTGATGTTGATGCTGATGCTGATGCTGATGATGCTGATGATGATGACGATGATGATGATGGAGATGATGACAATGATGATGATGATGATGATGGTGATGATGATGGTGATGATGAAGAAGATGATGCTGCTGATGATGATGCTGATGCTGCTGCTGATGATGATCCTGATGCTGATGATGAGGATGATAATGATGATGACGATGATGACGATGACGATGACGATGATGGTGATGATGATGATGATGATGATGGTGATGATGATGATGAGGGTGATGATGATGATGATGATGATGATGATGATGATGATGATGATGATGATGATGATGATGATGATGATGATGATGATGAAAGTGATGATGATGACGATGCTGATTATGATGGTGATGATGGCCACGACGATGATGCTGATGATGGTCAGGAGGAGGAAGCGGAGGAAAAGGAGGAGAAGGACGCGCCTGAGAAGGCGGGTCTCCTGAACAGTTTGCCCTCTCAATGCCTGAACAAGAGTCCCTCGTCGTCTGGTGTTGCATGCTTATCTCTTCAAATACTGTGCCATCTGCCGGGGGGAGGGGAGGACGAGGAGGAGGAGGAGGAGGAGGAGGAGGAGGAGGAGGAGTAAGAGCAGGAGGATCGGGGGAGGAGGATCGATAAATCGTGTCTGGTGCATGTTTGGGCCCTCTCTGGGGATCGTGGGATCTTGGTGTCGCCAGAGATCCACAGTCGATTGCAAGCATAACAATTTGATTCCCACATTGTATTGCCGAGGCAACTTGATAGTAGATCGCTCGCGCGCTGTTGCGATCTGCGGCTCAGTAGCGGACCGACGAGCCTCACAAGCGAAACGGATCTCAGCGCAGTACCGGCTCCTTGCACCTTGAGATTGCCACACAATAACAGCAACACAATATATTTGCACTGCCGGCTGGGGCGAGCATTAGGTCGGCCATGTCCTCCTACAGGCGGACTGTCGAAGCAAACAACTCATAGCCAAACAAGGGTCAAAAGTAGTAAAACGAGCACGGAAGGTCAAGGCGAGCAGTAGGTCGGGCGTGTCCCCCTGCAGGCGGATCTTGGACGAAGAATAAAACATAGCCCGAACATGCTCAAACATGGTCAAAACATACTAAACAAATCGTCCCTCGACTATTTTTCACTATGTGGGAATATTTCTCCTGTAGAGGGCCATGCCCGACTGAAGGCGACCACTGCACACCTGCGCCGACGCTCGGGGCCGCCGCTTCGCCTCGCGGGAGGGCGGCGCCTCCAGCGGGCCCCCTCTCTCCGCAGCATGTTGCGGCGAGGGCCACCACTCGCGGCAGCGGTGCTCCCCTGTGCCTATCCCCCCCTATCTAAAGGGGCCCCAGGACACACAAATAAATACACACAAATAAAATGATTCCCCATATTTTCCTATATATATATATATAGGGTTTTCGTCTTCCCCCCCACGATCGCTGCCGTTGACCACTGGCACGTTGAGACGTGGAGGACTGCCGGGGGCTGCCTGGTAGATTTTGTGTTGAACCCAATTAGGGGCCGCTACCCCTCTGCCCGCGGACACTTGCATGCTCCGCCCCCCTTCTCCGAGGCCACCTCCGTCGTGCCCGCTCGAGGATGGTGCACCTCCAGCATGGCAGCTCAGGTCTGCACCTCCGTTCCACGCGCGCCCGCTCGAGAATGGTGCACCTCCCGCATGGCAGCTAACGCCCGAACCCTCATTCCATGCGCGCTCGCTCGAGGATTGTGCACTTCCCTTCCCGCATTGACTGCTAGCTCCTAGCTGGGCCCCTCATCCCACGCACAAAAGCTCGATAAACGTGCACTTCCTGCATTCTCAGGCGCTTTTCCCAAGCGCTCCAGGGCCTCCCAAGCAACGAACCCTCGTTAAAAACGATGGATGTGCGTCCCAAGCTTCCGAGACTACCCGTGCAGGCAACCAAAGTCACCAAGATGGCCTAGATTGCATTGAAGACGGGCAAAAATGTCCCCAAGCCGGCCGTCTATTGGTTGAAGACGGCCCAAGGAGGGCCCAAAATAGCCACAAAAGGACCTTTGACAGGGTCCGACGCCGCCAAAATTTAGATTTCTCTTTGGTGTTTAAATGATGGTCGCTTTCTTGCCTTTCCGGGCAGCAGTCAGCTCAAGACGGCACAAGAGAGCTCCACGATGGCCCACAAGGACCCCAAGACGGCCCGAAGACGGTCTAAGAGCGTCTCCCGTGGGACCCAAGACCTTCTTAGAAGGCCCTTCGACAGCCCAAGACGGCGGCAAGACGGCCGCATCGACGGCCCCCAGACACCCACCTTACAGCCAAGAGGGCCCAAAGACAGCCCAAGAGAGCCCAACGCCAGCGTAAGAGGGACCCAAGACAGCCCAACAGGGCTCCAAGGACCCCCCACCCCCAAGACTGCCTGACAGGAGGCCAAGACAGCCTCAAGACGGCCCAAACGAGTTCCATCATCATCGTCATCATCATCATCATCACCATCATCATCAGCAGCATCAGCAGCAACATCATCATTTTCACCATCGTCATCATCGGCATCATCAACATCATCACCATCACCATCATCATCATCGTAATCAGTATCATGACCATCATCATTACCATGATCATAATCATCAACATCATCATCGTCATCGCCGTCATCATCTTCATCTTCATCATCATCATCATCATCATCACCAACACCACCACCACCATAATCATCATCATCATCAGCATCATCATCAACACCGGGACCACCCGAAGCGTCACTGAATTACGCAGTCTCCGAGCATCGCAGACTGCGCCACGCTGCCATCCTCCCACACGCGTCTCTACTCTCCGTGACTAGCCGAGCCCGAAATCAGAGCGTCCCGCGCTGAGTTGATTTTGAGTGCCGTGACAATGCAAAACGGTTGCCAGCCAGATGAAGCACATTCCTGGCGGGCCTTCGGGCCACATGCAAGGCCGCTCGGCCATTCCTCAGGAAGTCGTCTTGGAGCGGCGGCAATTCGTGAGCATGCGAGTATGAGCTGCATGTCTGCGGCATGAGGGGGGCCCGCTGGCTGCAAGAGGTGGCACCGATTCTGCCAGATAATGGAGATAATCTGGTCGCACAGAAGACCTTGCATGCTGCTCAGGGGTAAGGCTGACCAGTACACCCGACAATCTCAACGCGGCAAATCAACATGGAGGACAACATGAGCCATGGATGCACTCATGGAGAACCTCGATTTCCACATACGCAGTCTGTAAAAATATGCAGAGACAGGGACTCACGAAGAGACGGCACGCTGACACGGCAGCTGAGACAAATGGGGCGATGATCAAAATAAACGTGGCCGAGATCCTGGGCGAGGAAAGAAGCCGGCAGAACGCGAAAGAGAAGGCCGCACGCAATAGAGCGAGGCAAAGGGAGAACAGTAGGAAGGAGGTGGACATTTGGACGACTGCGGAAAAGGTAAGGCGAGGAGCTCGACGCGCGATTGCCGAATCAAATAATCAAGACTCTCCAGAAACGCTTTTTTTGCACAGGCATAATCCAAAGAGCAGGAGACGCACGATTCACGCATGATGGTTGGCAGCTCACCGCGCAGGTGGGAGAGCACGCGATCATCACGCCGCAGCTTCATGGGGCCTCTTGCTGTAGATCGTGCACAAGGCATCCAAGAACTCCTCCAGCACACATTACAAAAATACATTATGGAGCCACCACTGGCACTGGATCACCCGACATTTGGTGCTATCGGCGACGCTGGGCGGAGAGGACGAATGCGAAAAGGGCGAGCACGCAACATTCCGTCCGCATCTGCATGAACAAATGAACACAAGCACACACAGACACAGACACACACACACACACAGACACACACACACACAGACACAGACACAGACACACACACACAGACACACACACACACACACACGCACACTCACACACACACACACACACACATTTCACCAGGGAAGCTGGCAGTGCCAAAGCTTTCTCAGTGCGTTCTACGCATCGGTGCGTCCGGGAAATGAAATCCCCACATAGATCGACAAGGAAATCGCGCCATCTAATAATCAGGGCACGCCCACCTTCATAGCGGGATCTCGGAACCCGGTGGTTGCCCTGGTGGCCGCGGCGCTCTCCCCCAGACGGAAGGCCGCGCGTCGGAACAAACGGCGCGGAGACACGTGGGCTTAGGCTGGGCCTGTCCCCCAACAGGCGAGTTTTGGGCAAAAAATTGAAAAAAATACTCGAAATTGCTTCTTTTTTTAATATTATTTGTTTTGTTGAAGGCCCCCAGACTATTTCTCAGTATTTTTGAATGTTCCTCCTGTAGAGGGACAGACCCGACTTCAACGTAGGCGCGTCTGGACATCCTCTGGCAAATCAAATTCCTTTGCGTGCTGCGTCGTGGCGCCGGCACGCGGCGAGAGGAACTGGCGCAAGGGGACACCGTGCACACGGCGAGGCCCGCCGAGAGGACAAGTGGCATGATCCAATGACGAAGCACCGACAGCACTCGCACGCCAATGTTAAGTCGGGCGTGTCCCCCTACAGTGGGATTTTGTACGAAACATACAAAATACTCTAAGAGCACTTGAAATTAATAAGAAAGACATGCTCAAAAAATCGTCCCCACATCATTTGTTTGACTATTTTTGAATATTCCTCCTAGAGAAAGACAGGCCCGACTTAACGCCAGTGCCCACAATCCAGCAAGCCGTAGTTCGGTCGTCGCCGGTGTTCTGAACCGCTCGACTGGCTGCCGGCAAAGGCGGGCTCGCTCAGTGCCCTGGGGGTCCTCCGCCTCCTTCGCATCCTCCTCCCGCTCCCTCCTCCTCCCCTCCGGCGTCCCTTGCTTCCGCCCGCACCCCCTCCCTTCCTCCCGCGCGAGCAGTTATACTTGTATTCCTCCCCTTTCTGTCTCTCTCCTCTCGCCTCCTCCTCTTCCTCCTCTTCCTCCTCCTCCTCTCTTCTTCCTCCTCCTCCTCCTCCTCCTCCTCCTCTTCCTCCTCCTCCTCCTCATACTCCTCCTCATACCCCTAATCCGCAGATCTCTCGTCTAAACACTTCCGAGCGCTCCCGCGCAGGAGCCTTGCACGTGTGGCGTTCCAAAGGGGTCTGGAAGAAGTAGCGAAGAACGTAACTTTGAACACTCCTCCCTTTTCCCCACAATTAACTCCTCCCTGTCGCATCCCTAGACGTGTTGGTAGGGCGGACCGGGCGTTTCGCCTCAGACCCCCTCGCGATTTATGATCCGGAAACTTGAAACATGCAGTGTCGCTGATGGAGGGCGGGCCATTTTCCAAATGTGACTTCCGTTTCAGCGTCGCGCACATTCATCTTGAAGGTTCGCGCAAGTTTGAAGGATGGAGGACAAGTCGTTTTCAACATGTGGCTCTGCGCACAATCGTCTTAGAAACTTGCAACCGTTTAAAGGATGGAGGGCGGGTCTTTTTCAAAATGTGCATCTCGCCTTAACGCCTCGCGCATTCGTCCTAACAGTTTGCTGCAGTCAAAAAGGACTCGTCTGGTTGAAGTCCCAGGAACGACGTTCTGGCACGATTTAGGACCGCCAAAACGCAACATTATGGGTAATTTGCGGAAGCGAGGTCCCAGGAACGGTGTTCTGATACGATTTCGATTTGTCAGAACGCAAACGTCACGTTGATTCGCGGCGCTGATGTCAAAATAATTGTGCTCTCGTGCGCTTGAAGATTCTCAGACTGCTGTTCTCCAATGGGGCACTTCTCACACTGAAAACATGTTTATAGGGGCATGTAAGGAGGAAACTGAGAGGAAAGGCTTATTGCAAACATCGCTGAAACGTCTTAGGATTACACTGGTCCCCTCCTCCTCTTCCTCCTCCTCCTCCTCCTCCTCCTCCTCCTACTATCCACCCCTCCCCCGCCACGGGGGTCCCGGAAGGCTGCGTTCCTCCGCTTCTCCCCCCCCCCTTCCTTCACCTTCCGCCATTCCCATCGGCCATTTCCCTCCCCTTCTGGTACCTTTTGGTTTCCCCAGAGGGGGGGGGGGAAGGGATGGGGGAGAGGAAGGCGGAGGGAGGCAGCGCAGGAGGTGGGGGAGGGATGTGGCGGAGGAGGTCCCAGAAGAGGAAAAGGATGAGGAGGGGAACGGAGGAGGAGGAGGAGGAGGAGGAGGAGGAGGAGGAAATGAAGGGATGAGGAGGGGAAGGGAGGAGGAGCAAGAGGAGGGGAATGGAGGAGGGAGGGGGGGAAGACAAGGGAGGAGGAGGAGGAGGAGGAAGAGGAGGAGGAGGAGGAAGAGGAGGAGGAGGAGGAAGAGTCCCCTCTTCTCCTCCTCCTCCTCCTCCTCATACCAACTCCGCAGATCTCTCCAGGGGTGCGTCCTGACCAGAATTCCCCCGAGGAGGCCCCAAAAGGCGAACCCGACGAAGGGTAGCGGTATGGGTACCTGTTCCTCCTCTGCCTTCCCCCCCCGACCAAATCCCAGAAGAGGAGGAGGGGGATGAGGAAGAGGAGGAGGACGACGAGGAGGAGGAGGAGGAGGGAGGAGGAGGAGGGAGGAGGAGGAGGAGGAGGAGGAGGAGGGTTCTCACCCCCTGGTCCCCCTCCTCCCCGTCCGCCCCACGCTCCCGCCCGCGCTGCACGACCAGAGGAGAGCGCCTGGGGCGCTACCCCCCCCGAGAAGGGCGGCGGGCACCCCGCCAGTCGCACCGAGGGGGGGGGGGGGGGAACTCGCGCAGGCCAAGAAGGAGGAGAAGGAGGACCTGGTCTTGCGGATGCCACGACAATGGACACCCTAACAGTCCTATCATTGAACTTGAAATGTGTTCAACATGTAGGGGAAATGTTCTAAACATGCTTCAACCATGTGTACATGTTTAAAGCATGGTTAACGCATGTTTTTGACATCTGGAATGTATTTGGCAACATGCTTCCTCTCCATTGATCGTCCTCCGCAAACTCAGTCGTGCTCGCGTCGTGCACAAAAACACGACGGGACATGTTCGTCGATGTTGGGCCTTCGGGCGCCCTCGGGGCACGGCACTCGACCAGCCGAGAAGAAGACTCGGACATCCGCCAACCCTTCGAAGTGTGTGAGGCGCTTTTCCGTTTGAGTCCTCGTCGTCGTCGTCGTCGCGAGTCCCAGAAGTTTGAGGAACAAAGAAAAACTGCACAATTAAGTCGATTCCGTTCGTTGTGTTCCCTTCCATGACAGGTCGGTTGGGTGTGCAAGGGGGGTGTGCGGGGGGAGAGGGAGGGAGGGGCGGGGTCCCAGGTCAAGACGCTGCCCCCCCCCCCCCCCCGGGATCTCGGGTGATCGGGGGGGGGGTCCAAAGGAGGGTCGCCAGAGGGGATCCGGGGGGAGGTCCCGTCTTCAGGGTCGGCAGCACTGGCCGTATGGCCCTCGCAAGAGAGGCTCGGAAAGGACAATTTGAGGAAGCCCGCCGCAGGCGCCGAAATTTGAGCCCGCCGCAGGCGCCGACTGTTTATCCATCACAAAAACATGGGCGGGTCACTGGTGGTCGAAGGGTGGGTCGCGGATGGGGCGTGGGTGGGTCGACGGTGTGTCGCGGTGTGGATCGCGGGCAGGACGACGACAAGGCAGCAAGGCAACAACAACAAACCTCGCCGCGGAACCCAACTTCAGCCGCGTACCCGCGGACGGTGTAAGACCGTTCGGCCCCCTCACCCTGATGATCCCGTAGCGGGTTACGGATACGATAAACGACCTGGCGAGAACTTCGGCCCCTGTGCACCGATGTTTGACCCCGTGGGTTTCAGCATGCTGGCCGCTCATGGGCCCGTGCCGATATGGCCAACTTCTGCCCTCGGCCAGACGCTCGGGCCCGCATGAACATGCATGTGCGATGGCCAAACTGGGCCTACCACCGTGGGGGTGGGAGGGACCGCTCACGAGTAGGCGAGGCCCCCCACCAGCCGCTGGTCGATCGCAAACCGATCGGACACTCTGAACCGATGGAAAAAAACAGACATGCGACGTCGTGCTTTTTTCGCAGCATGCCCCCCCCGGAGGTCAGGACCCCTTCCCGGGGACCCACTTTTCTTCCTGAGCAAGCTCTGTTGCGGCCCCGGGGCCTTTGCAAGGGCCCCCAGGGGGCCGAAACTGGACCCCCCCCGTCGCGTTGTATTTGCTTGGTCACGACGCGAGAATGCCAGGGCATTCTTGGCAACGGCCGACTGCGGCGCGAGCGGGTCGGCAGGTCACGCTGGCCAGAGCGCCCTCGCGCAGGGACAAGGAAAGGCGACACCAACACCGACAGGGCGAGGAGATGCGAGGAGAAAGGGCGGCCTCCCTGGTGGTGTGGCCCCCCCTCCCGCTCGAGACACCCCCGGCCTCCAGCTCGGGGAGGCATCGTGGACCTCCTCGGTGGAGGTGGCCCCCCTGGTGGTGCTGGTGCCGCTCCTCACCCCTCCGATCGCGCGAGCGGCGGCCCCCGCCTCCGCAGGGAGGGGGCCCGCGGGCGCCCCGGCCAGCAGCAAGCCTCCGCGGCCCTGCCGCGCCCTGTGCCACCGCGGGGGCGCCCGGGTCCAGGCACGCCTCCACCGCCCTCTCCGCCTCCTCCTCCTCCTCCTCCTCCTCCTCATCCTCCTCCTCTCCTCCTCCTCCTCCTCCTCCACAATTACTCAACAATTGCACAATATGAAAATACTCTCCCACTTCCCCTGATGGCGTCCGGAAGATATTCGGCCACCCCCCCGCGTACTGTTTTTTTACACACAGGATTCCCCGGAGTTGGGTTTTCGCTTGTGTTTTTTTTCTAAAAATGCTGCTCTCGCTGAGGCGCCGGCCTCATTTCTGCTCCCGAATCGTTCCGAATCGTGCTCCCGCTGCAGCGTGGGCCTCATTTTCGGATCGGTGTTTGGCCTCCGTCGTTCAGGATGACGTTCTCGCCCCAGCGCGGGCCTCTTTCTCGCGCGCCCATCCGCCCGCCACCACCGCGCCGCACCACCACCACCACCACCACCACCACCACCACCACCACCACCCACCACAGCACCCACCAGCACCAGCACCAGCACCAGCACCAGCACCAGCACCAGCACCAGCACCAGCACCAGCACCAGCACCAGCACCAGCACCAGCACCAGCACCAGCACCAGCACCAGCACCAGCACCAGCACCAGCACCAGCACCAGCACCAGCACCAGCACCAGCACCAGCACCAGCACCAGCACCAGCACCAGCACCAGCACCAGCACCAGCACCAGCACCAGCACCACACCACCACACCACCACACGCACCACGCACGCACGCACGCACGCGCACCACCACCCACTACGCACGCGCGCGCGGAGCCACAGGTCCGCTACGACACGCGTCCGCGGATAGAGAAAATCAGCGCCATGGTAAGGGATGGGAGGGAGGGGTAGGACGTCAGATATGACGCGAGCGCACCTAGCTTGATATGAAAATACTCTCCCTCTTCCCCTGATGGCGTCCGGGTGATGGCCGCGCACCCTCCGCGTACTGTTTTTTAACACACAGGATTCCCGGGAAATCCCGGGAAACGACTCTCGCTGAGGCGCCGGCGTCATTTTTTCCCAAAATGCTGCTCTCGTTGAGGCGCCGGCCTCATTTCTGCTCCCGAATCGTTCCGAATCGTGCTCCCGCTGCAGCGTGGGCCTCATTTTCGGATCGGTGTTTGGCCTCCGTCGTTCAGGATGGCGTTCTCGCCCCAACGCGGGCCTTTTTCTCGCGCGCCCATCCGCCCGCCACCACCGCGCCGCACCGCCACCACCACCACCACCACCACCACACCACCACCACCAGCACCAGCACCAGTACCAACACCACCACCACCAGCACCACCACCACCACCACCACCACCACCACCATCACCACCACCACCACCACCACCACCACCACACCACCACCACCACCACCACCACCACCACACCACCACCACGACAACCACGCACACACGCACGCACGCACGCACGTGCACCACCACCCACTACGCACGCGCGCGCGGAGCCACAGGTCCGCTACGACACGCGTCCGCGGATAGAGAAAGTCAGCGCCATGGTAAGGGATGGGAGGGAGGGGTAGGACGTCAGATATGACGCGAGCGCACCTAGCTTGTCCTCCTCCTCCTCTCCTCCTCCTCCTCCTCTCCTCCTCCTCCTCCTCCCCCTCCTCCCTCCTCCTCCTCCTCCTCCTCCTCCTCCTCCTCCTCCTCCTCCTCCTCCTCCTCCTCCTCCTCCTCCTCCTCCTCCTCCCCCTGGCCGGGCCCATCCTGGGCCCACGAGCGAGCGCACACGAGTGCAGCCTCCCTGTCCGCGGGGCCCGCCTCGTGTCGCGGGCGCTCCCGCGCAGCGCAAGGCCTCGCAGCCCACTTTCTTTTTTCCCGTCGGCGGCGGGGCAGGGGCAGGCCGCTCCAGCGTGTGGCTACTCGGGGCAACCGGCAGGCGAATGGTCCGGCGTGCCAGAGGGAGGAAAAAGACGAGAGCGGCCGCACGGGGGGAGGGGGAGGGGAAGGCGCGCGCAATGCTCTCGGAAAGGCCATGCAACCGCGCGCACTGCTCTTTCGCTCCACATTGTGCGGCCCCCTGGCTTGGCCAGGGCAGCGTACAAAATTACCGCTCCTATGCCCAGGATGGGCCTGGTCCAAGGGCGGTGGGGGATGCTTGCTCCTGAGGAGACGGGGAGAGCGGCGCACGACATCGTCCAAGCTCGACTGCAAGCGGCCAGCCAAGGGTGGTGGATTTGTTATGAGAGAGAGAGAGAGAGAGAGAGAGAGAGAGAGAGAGAACAAATTATGTGTACGCTTCACTGGTGCAGAATCCCACCCCCCCCGCTCTGGAACCGCCTCCCCCCGAAACCTTGGACCCCAGATAGTCCCCCCACTGCCACTCCCCGGCGAAAGCACACTCGTCCCCGCCCTCTCTGAAGTTGGAGAGGGGGCTGCTGGCATGGGCGAGGGGTAGGCTAAGGGGATAAATAGGGTTATCAGTGGACGCCAAGGTGGGCTATATCTGGCCGAACCTAGCTGTCAAGTGGACTGCAGTTTCCTTGAGTTGCCTAGGGGGTTAGATAACTCGGCGAAATGGGTGGAGCCCACTTCGCCCCGATCTTCAAACCCCCCGAAACGGATTGGGGCACTGGTGACCTACCTCTATAATTAGGCGGGGTTGGGCCAGACGTACCCCACTTTGTCATCCACTGATACCCTTCTATCCCCTTTTGATCGAGGATCTTCTGATCTGGGCCAATCCAAACCCGGGTCAGTCGGGCCTTGCAGGATCCTGCAGAAGCCTGCAAAATCCTGCACCCAAGCCCAGGTCAATGCGAAGGATCCTGCAAGATCCGGCAGGGTCCTGCACCCAAACCCGGGTCAATGCGACCCTGCCATGCAGAATCCTGCGAAATCCGGCGCTCTGGCTGACCCCCGTTTGCATTGACCCCCGTCTGAAGGCCCCCGATTTGAACATGGACTGACCGTCCTGGCATTCCTATAGGCCTACCACGACATGCTCTGAGAACCCAAAAATGTTCTAAGAACAAAAACAAAGTTCTTAGAACAGAAGCCCGACGTGTTAAGACAAGACAGTCCCAGCCAGAAGTGCTCTAAGAGCATGTCGTGGAATTGTCTGGTAGGCCCATAGGCACGCCAGGACGCTTCGCCACTGCTTGAGCCCTTGGCCCGCCCCGCGCCCATCCCAGCAGCCCCCCCTCCGCCGTGGGTGAACGAAAGCCAGCGAGCACGCCGCACGTCGGCGGTCGAAGCACGAGCACGACGAGCTGCGGCGCCGAGGTGCCCCCCCGGCTCTCGCTGCTGGCGCGGGCTGCCCTGCGGTGCCCCCGCGGGCGGCGGCAGCGGAGAAGAGCGAGCCGCTGTCCTCGAGGTGCTGCTGCGCGCGGAAGGTGGCCTGCGCGCCGGGCCGGCACCGCGTGCGGCGGCCCTCTCCCTCTCTTGAGGACAGCACAGCCCACCCCGAACCTCAAGCCAAGACCCCCACTCCCGACCTGGTGATCCGTGAGGTCCATGCTGGGGGTGAGTGTGTTTTTTTCTCACCCAAAAGGCCACCCCAAAGCTCCAGCCAGGACCCCAGGGATCACCAGATCGGGAGTGGGGGTCTTGGCTTGAGGCTTGGGGTGGGTTGTGCTGCCCTCATCTCTCTCGGCTGCGTCCATGAGGGGGTGCGTCCAAGACGGGGGGTCGCAAATCGTGGCACGAGGCATGTGCGCGGACGGGGAGGGAACCAGGTCGATTGGTCGGTGAATGCCGCGATCAGACGGCGCATCGGAAGGACGCGCTGTATAGAAGTGTGTGTACATATAGATATACATCGATTACCTAAAACTTCATGCAGAATGGTGCTGATGCGAAGTGCGCCTGTGGACCGTACTCCTAATTTACAATGATGCGCGGCAGCTGCCGACACCTTCGCAGCGGGAGGAAGAAAAGAAGGAGAAACAACTGACAACCCTACCCGCTGACGCTTCAATTGAATACGCTTCTGCTTCATAGTCATGATGCGGCTGTTTGGTCCCTTGCGGTGCTGCCTCTGCTTCAGAGTCGTATCAAAATATGAAGAAGACGTTTTGGAATAATGAGGGGGGGGATTCCGTCGAGATGCCATGGCCCCAGCCATGATATCCACACACCCCTAATCATCCCCCCCGCTTGGACGTTCGCCACTCTCGGTGGCCGCTGCAAGGATCCGTTGCAAGGAGCTCACGGACTGAATTGCGCGGCCCGTGCCCGTCTGCCAAAAGATAAACAGAGGCCCCATGCGGGAGATATCGTTTGATCTGGTGGCCCTCTTGTGGCGGGACCAAAAGATGTAGAAAGCATGACTCTCTTACTAAGTCGCTGCTGTGTCTACAGAGGCGATTTCAGGTAGAGTAACACCTCACGTTCATGCGCTCGGGCTCCTATGGAAGCGTATAATGTGAGATGTGTGGTGCGACAGTGAGTCACCAGTGAACTTGACTTGGGCAGCAGGGCTGTACTTGCAAGAATTTGCTGAACGCGCGGCTTCTCTGACCCTGAAACCGGATTGCTACGACGCCAGACTGCGTTCCCTCGGCCACTGGGGGCGAAGGGAAACGGACATCCAACACAGAACATGTCCTTTGGATCTTCGATATCAGCAGTGAGACCCAGCGTTGAGCATGTGCTACCGATATTGCAATGGTTGGAGTGTGTTGGGCCCTTGCCTGTTTCGTGAATGCTGCTCGTGGCATTGCAACAGATACGGACCATGGAGACTCGACCTCAACATGTCATGAGCTCATATGTACTGAGCTGGTTCTTCATACATCGAAGTCGGCATAAACGTAAACGTTCGGAGGTCCGCGCGGATTTCTTGGATCGGCGCTGGACCCCCTGGCTGGCATGCGGATCGAAAACATCGAGATGATGCAATGGTCGGTGTTTCGGTTTCTTGCCATCCACGCCAGGAACACAGTCAACCAGTGCAATACGGACGCGCGCACAGGATGCAAGGGCCTGGGAAGGCCATGTCGACACTTTGCGAGCAGGGCGCGGCCAGCAAAAAACTGGCCAAGGATAATGGCCACCTCCGCGCGCCCGCTCCCCCCCGCCGCCCCGCCAGGCGCTTCGGCGCCTTCTCTCCCTCAGGCGCCCCTCCCAGGCACCTGCTCCCCCTCGCGTTCCAAGATAGACTTCGACGAGGTCCCAAAAAGACCCCTGTGACACTGCCCGGGATGCTCCAAAGTGGCCCCGAGACGCCCCCGAGATGGAACGCCAGGCCGTGACGACAGCCCCAAAGACTCTCAACATGCTCTGCTGGGATAACCTCAGGAGCCCCACTGCTACAAAGAGTACCCCCGAACTGGCCCTGGCCCCAAACAGAGCGGAAGTGTTGAACAAGCAATATCCCTTGACAGCGAGCTCAGCCGAGCTCGGCGGGGACGAACCCACTCTGAGTACCTCTAGTCTGGGAGGGGGGATGGGCCTGCAGTCCGATCGGGGTGTGTGGAGACGGGGGGCCAGTGCAGTCCGGGGGGGAAGAAGGCCATGCAGTCCAGGGCGGCCCGTATAGTCAAGCTGGGGGGGGGGGGGGGGGGGGGGCGAAGTCCAGCGGGGGCGGGGGCAATCACTTCCACACCATGGGCAATTCTTAACCCCGTGGGAGAGTCCCTGTCATCCAGGAGCGGGTGCCTATAGTCTGGGGGGGGGGTTCTTGTAGTACAGGGTGGGGGCCCTTGCAGTCCGGAGCGGGGTCCTTGCAGTCCAGGGAGGAGGGGGGCCTTGTAGTCCGGGTGGGGGCCCTCGGGGCTCCTGTAGTCCGGTGGCCCAGGACATGGTTGAGGTCCTTTGGGTAAGGAATGGCCCGCACACCAGGGGCCCATTCTGAGACTGAGATGTCCTTGCTTCAGCGTCTTGACTGTACGCCACCGCGCCTCGAGCACGTCCTCACGGTTCATACAAGCGTGAGCGGCAGAGGAACTCCAGACAGACTTTGGAAAGGCCCACCTCCCCGAACTGTCCTAATTCTCCGGCGCACTCGCGCACTTTGACTCCTCCTCCTCCTCCTCCTCCTCCTCCTCCTCCTTTCTCTCCTCCTCCTCCTCCTCCTCCTCCTCCTCCTCCTCCTCCTCCTCTTCCTCGTCCTCGTCCTCCTCCTCCTCCTCCTCCTCCTCTTCCTCCTACTCCTCCCCCCCCTCCTCTTCTTCCCCCTCGTCCTCCTCCCCTCCTCCCCTCCTCCAGGGACGTAGCTGAAGAGCCTACTGTATCTCAGCAGCGTTGGCATCAGAGGGCGCGCAGGGCAAAGTGTCCAGGGCACTCCCCCCCAGGGCGACCCCAAGACTCCCCAGAATTCCCCTTCGACTCCCAGAATCCCAGAAGGGTTCATGGCCAACGCCCCCGAAGCCCCCCAAGCACGGTGGCGTGAAGGACTGCACGCAGCCCCGTTGACAAGGAGAGGAGAAGCTGCACTAGATATTCGGAGGTCCGCGCGGACTTCTTGGATCTGCGCGGGGCCCTCCCGGACCGCCACCCAACCAGCTGCCCCGAGCCGCCCAGCGAACAGCGGGACGCGTCCGCGCGACGGCGAGAGGGCCTCGCGCGGACAAATAAGGGCTCTTCGAACTGGTAAGAGATGGGAGGGAGGGGTGGGACGTCAGACATGACTTGTGCGCGCGACGGCGAGAAGGCCTCGTGCGAATAGCGGAGGGCTCTACGCAATGGTAGCAGATGGGAGGGAGGGATGGGACGTCAGACATAACGCGTGCCCGCGACGGCGAGAAGGCCTCGTGCGAATAGAGAAGCGCTTCACGCAGTGGTACCAAGAGGGGGTGGGAGGGGGGGACGTCAGACGTGACGCGTGCGCTCGACGGCGAGAGGGCCTCGACGCGTGCGCGCGACGACGAGAAGGCATCGTGCGAATAGAGAATGGCTCTACGCAGTGGTACAAAGAGGGGAGGGAGGGACGGGACGTCAGACATGACGCGTGCGCGCGATGGTGAGAGGGCCTCGTACGGATAGAAAACGGCTCTACACAGTGGTACGAAGAGGGGAGGGAGGGGTGGGAGGTCAGACATGACGCGTGCGCGCGATGGTGAGAGGGCCTCGTGCGGATAGAGAACGGCTCTACGCAGTGGCAGGGGGAGGGGAGGACGTCAGACATGACGCGAGCGCAACCAGCTTGCCCCTCCCCCCCCCACCCCCTCCCCCCCTCTTTTCCATCCCCCTGCGCGAGCGCACCCGGCTTGAGCCCCCCCCTTCGCTCCCTCCTTCCCTCCCCACCAGTGCCCCTCCCTCGCTGCCTCTTCGCGGGCCCTGCCTGCCTGCCCGCCCTCTGCCTCGCCGCCCCTGCCCATCACCAGGACAGAAGAGAGGCAGGAGCGCCGGGCTCCTTCTGGAAGTGCACTTCCTGCAACCGGGGGGCGGTGGAGGAGGCGGTGGAGGTAGAGGGACGGGGAGGTCGAGGGGCGGGGAGGACGAGGATCGGCAGGAGGACGCGACGACCTTGGCGCAGAACGCGGATCGGCAGGAGGAGGAGGAGGAAGAGCAGGAGCAAAAAAGTGGAAAAAGGAGGGCACGCAAGGGGAGCAAGACGACGACAACGGCGAAAACGGTTCTGCAGACGAGCGCGTGCGCGGTCGCGCAAACGCGGACCAAGCCCGCAGCAAACGCACAACACTGTGTGACGAGATCGCGAGCTCTCATGACTGCAATGCTCAAGTGCGAAAGAAAGAAATTGAAATAGCACCCCCACATGTGGCCGCTGCGTTGTTCCCTGGCCGCGCAACTGGTCCACGACGTGCGGTGTCCCAACGTGCAAGTGGCTCCGTGGGCACCAGGCTGGCTGGAACGAGGACGTTAACACGAAGACCAGCATAAAAGGAAGACAGCGCATAGTTTGCGACCGTGGCACGAGAGCCCCAAGGCATGCGAGCCCCTTTCAGGTGCAAGATCATGCGGCCTTCTGGGGGGGGCGCTCGAAGTGTCACCACACAGCGTGGTGCGCTGGCACTGTGCCGCAAGCTTTCGCAGACAGGTGCAGACAGTTGGGCACATGAATGGTCAGCAGGATCGCCATCCTCAAATCTCAGCTCGCACACGTGCGGGAGGGGCACATCGACCTGAGGGTGGGGCAACGCAGGTTGCACGAGAAGCCACGACAAACGGCAGCGCCGAGACCACCTCTAGATAACTATCCTCTCGGTGCTCCAGCCCTCCTCCCCCTCCTCCGCCTCCTCCGCCTCCCCCTCCTCATCCTCGTTCTCCTCCTCCCCCTCCTCTTTCTCCTCCCCCTCCTCTTTCTCCTCCTCTTCTTTCTCCTCTTCCTCCTCCTCCTCCTCCTCCTCCTCCTCCTCCTCCTCTGGAGCCTCTGGAGCCTCTGCGGACACAGTCCCTCAGTGAAAGACTGGCCCGATGGGGAAATTAATGGACTGGGAAGGGGGGGCCCACAAACTTCTTGGATGTGGGATCCATGCCCTGGCGCATGTACTTCAAAGCCCCAGCCTTCCCCGCCCCAGCAAAGCGGAGGCAGCGCGCGGCCAAGTCATTGACCTGCTTCCGCGCGTGGCACCCGCACTGCATGCAGAAATACATATCCGAGCCGATCACCCACATTCGATGAGTCTCGTGCGTCCGCGCAGGCACTCTCGGCTTGCCTGGACACTCATTCTGGATGATCGCACTTCGACGAGCAGCATTCACTCCACAATTTCTGCATCCCCACCTGCCGTCAGCTGTGTGCAGCAGGTGGCCTCGATCCCTCATGGTGAGCTTTAGCACACACACAGGGGTTCCTCGCCTACCATCTGGATCTGCCTGAGGACCTTCGTAGCCCTCGGGACCTTATCTACATCTGGAAACCCTACACTACTGAGACGCTTCAGAGAGCCTGCCAGGAGCCTCGTGAATTGCCTACCGAAGTTTTTGGCCGCCTGAATCCTTTGATCCAGCTGGGGAACTACAGGATGCTCTATAGCCCCCAACCTCGCATACTTATCAGCCTGCAAGTTGCCAGGGTACCAGGAGCCCGAGAAATCGTGATTCCTGAGCCACGTCCTACTCTTGTGCGACGGCACCCACTGAATATTCACATTGTCCGAACCTACGTCATTCAACTTCCAGCATATAAGTCGCCAGACTTCCCAATAAGGCTCTGAAGCTCTGCACATCTGCTCGGGGCCCTTCAGGAGACCTATCAGGAGGTTCTTGTGGTCAGTGATTATAGTCGCCCTGGGCCCCATGAGACACAAAGCCATGTAGAACGCGTAGTGCTCTGCCAAGCCTGCACTCTGCACGGGCCCCGGCACTGGCCCGTAGGCCACCGCTGAAACCTGCTCGCTGCAATGCTTGAGAGAAACGACCGCCCATCCTGCCCCCGTCATCCACTCCACATCTGGGTTGACTCCCGATCCGTCTATGAAGATCTCTTCTCCGAGGTAACCACAGCATAGGAGACCGCGCTGAGGACATTCGTGTTCTTGCAAGGGCGGAGGCAAGGCGTCTCTCATACTGTCTGTGACCCCAAAGTCGACTAAGCAGATCCCTGGACACTCACGACAGATCGACACGACCTCATCACATCCTTGATCACGACGCCATGCCTCTAAGCCGTCGCACTCGCAAAGTCGGTGAGATATCATGCCTGAAGGATGTCCGCACCACCTGCAGGCGGACGTCAAGGAATACCGCTCTTCAAAAATCTTTGACTGCGTCCACAGTTTGCCTGACATGTGTATTGAAACAAGATCAGCCGACAAAGATTGACCTTTGGCCCGAAGGACCTGCAGCTCTGCCTTGATCGGGTCCAAGAAGGGGGTCCCATTCCAGCCCATATGTTTAGGCGCTTGCAGCTCCTGGTGCCTCTTGAGGCCCATGTGAATGATCGCTTCGAGGGTCTCGATGCTAACCTTCTCGAGGTCCACCACAAGCCCTTGAGGATCCACCCAAAGCTTGAAAGACCTGATTTGCCACCCAAGACGACGAAAGTCAATGCTACAGCTCCCCCAGGGCCACACACGGTAGCCCACCCCAGACTGATCTTGGACAAGCCGGCCTCGAAGATGGTCTGCATGACGCCCTGAGGAGCCCAACCTTCATGGAGAGCCTGGAGCCACGTCGCGAGGGGCAGGGCGTTTATCAGGCACGCTGGGTCGAGGTCGGGCGGATCATGCAACAGGTACTGCACCGCCCTGGACCTGCCCTTGGCCTTGCCGAAAAGGGCGAAAGCCGACACCGCTCGAAGGTTAGAGAGATCTGTATCATTCATGCCGCACACTCTGACTCCATACGAAGCCGACGCTCAGCCTCCAGCTCGGAACACTCTTGATAGCCCTCGCGTGGTGTCGGAGAGCTCGGAACCGATGAGACCTCTTGCGGAGGTTGTTCACACGGCTTTTCAGAACTCTCTTACCTTTCCTTACCTGCTGGCTGAAGTCGTGCCCGAAGTTCTTGACACTCGAGCACACCTTGAAATTTAAACTCTTGAGGTTGGTGCCAAGATCCTGCGCCAACCTGCTGGACGACGCGACGATCTGGCACTTCTTCCTAGACACTGGAAACTCCATCTTGCGCAGTCGCTTGCAGAGTGCTGAGAGTGCTCTACATCGGGATTATCTGACGAACTTCTCCGAACCGAGCGCCGATATCGTTATATCGTCTACCATGACATACAGGGATAACGATGGCCAATACTTCTGCATGTACACAAGAGAGTCATATAGTACAACACGTAACATCGTCGTAGCAAACGAACAGCCGGCTATAATCGAGCACGCGATCGTAATGATACTCGAGACCACCTCACGGATCTTAATCATCCTCGGCCCTCCGTACACCATTATCAGCAGGCGCGCGCGTCGAAGACTAAACATGTGCTTCTGGCAAGCGGCCCACAGCACTTCATGTGGGATATTTTCGTAAGCCTGCTCAAGATCGATCAGCCCTGAACCTGAGAAAGCACCGACGGAATTTGCCGCCTCTGCTTGGACCGCCTGCTTCCACACTGACTGCTCACAAGACTTACCTTTGGAGCCGTACACACAGTCGAGGTGGTGCTCGCGCTCCCACTTCTTGGCCTCCGAGTGCCGAATGCGACCGAGCAGCCGCACGCACGTGGCCAAGATGCCGATCGGACGGTATCCACCGTCGGGTTTCTTCAAAAAACAATGAGCGCCAGGCTACACTGCTCTGGTATAATGAGATACGTTTCCACAGCCGATAAGAACTCAGCAAAAACAGCCAGACCTTGATCACTTAGTTGTTTCAAATTCCCTGGACTCCAGCCGTCAATCCCGATCGCCGTGTTCTTCTTGAACTTCTGAAGGGCCTCTCGAACCTCTGAAACCGTGGGCACTGGAGGGGGCTCCCCGAGCGGCACGTTCAGGTCCTGGGCTCTTAACCTGGATGGTTCACCTTCACGCCATATGTGCTTCCATTCTTCCAAGAGGGCCTCCACAGTGTCGACAGGCCAAGCTGGGGCCCCATCCAGACCAGCCCCATCAGGGACCCATCCCAGAGGTTCCTTCGTCCACCGAAACACTCCTCCTCCTCCTTGCTTGAGATTTTGATCCACCCATTGCCTCCACTGTTGAGACTTCTTCGTCCTGGCGCTCGACTCTTCAGTATCTGCCTCCTCCTCATCCTCCTCCTCCTACTCCTCCTACGCATCCTCCTCCTATACTCCCCCTCCTCCCCCTCCTCCTCCTCCTCCTCCTCCTCCTCCTCCTCCTCCTCCTCCCCCTCCTCCGCCTCCTCCTCCTCCTCCTCCTACACTCTCCCTCTCTGCCCCTTCGTCCAACACCTACTGCTGCTCCTTCGGCTCCTGCCTCTCGCAGGGATCCCTCGGCACCGGCGGACGGACAGAAGGTGGTGACCATGCCAGGGAGACAAGAACCGCCGCTGGCCATCGCTCGGACGTCCATTCCCTGTGCTTTTTCCCTTATCGTGCGTGTTTTTTTTCGCCAAGTGATCAAGAATGCTCCTCGATGGTCCTCGCCGAGGAAAAAACGCACACGTCCGAGCGATGCCAAGGCCGTAGCTGGCAGCTCCCGCGCGGTGGCTGCTCCAGCCATGCCGGCAACGCCCGACCGAGCACTGCGGGAGGCTGCGGAGGCCGTGCGGACGCGGAGGGGACACCGCTGCGCTGCTGCCGCCTGCAAGAGCCCACGAGCACCCCAGGCCAGAGAGAGGCCGACCTTCCGTCCGAACTCCCCAATTCCTGGCCTTCGCTCGGCCGTCCCTTCCCTGTGTCTTTTGTGTCGGTGTCGCGCATGGTTTTTTTTCGCAGGAAGATCCAGGATGCTCCTTCATGATCCCCGCCGAGAAAAAAAAGTGCACACGTCCGAGCGAGACCAAGATTCCAGAGAATGACGAAACAGCCCGAATATTAGACGTTCGGAGGCCTGCGCGGAGCTCTTGGATCGGCGCTGGGAAAAACCCTCCCTGGCGCGCCAAGCGCACCACTGGGCGGGCGGCGTCGAAGGCGCCGCCGGGGGTGTCCAGCGCCTCCGGCACCGCCCCCGGCTCGCTCCGCGCGCCCTGGAAGGGGTTCTTGCCGTCGTTCGGACGTCCATTTCCCGCGTGCATTGTTCGGTTTCGTGCGCGACTTTTGTTGGTCGATGGTCCAGGATGGTCCTCGATGGTTCTCGCCGAGAGATAATGCCTGGATGTCCTTCTACTATGACCATTCAGACTGCGAGCAATGCCCGCACAGTCCCCCTGAACACACACACACACACACCCATACACACACACATAGAGGGAAACGTCGGAGCACCTCAGGAACCGGAGCCGTGAGTATGGACGACGGATGTAGGGGATCGCGCTCTATACACCGTGAAAACAGGTCCTGGGGTGTATGGCATCCTTGTTTTACAATGTTTCGCTGTTTCCGGGGAAGCGGAACAACTATCCACCCCGACACGCTCCCGACCCTCAAAAGGTCCTGGGATTGAAAAACAGCCCGCAACTGGCAATGCATATGTTCCAGTCTCCGAAATATGGACGACGGATGAGCCCCTATATTTTCTGCAGGAACTCATCGTATCGTATGTGTCTACTGTGGCTAAGCAATTTCTGGCCAGAGTGCGTACGATCAGGACCTTCTGGAAAGCGCGTCGCGGCGGCGGCCCTGGCGAAATGCTGTGCCTTGCGAAAGGCAGGTCGCTTCGCTCCTCTCCGCGGGAAACTTGGAAAGGCTTGGGACGCGGACGCTTGGGAATTGCTGGGCCGATCTTCAACCTACCATAGGTAGGAGAGGGAGAAGGAGGAAGAGGTGTAGGAGGAGGAGGACGAGGCGGAGGCGGAGGAGGAGGAGGAGGAGAAGAAAGGAGAAAAAGGGGGAGGAAGACGAGGAGGAGGAGGAGGAGGAGGAGGAGGAGAAACAAAAAGGAGAAGAAGGAGGAGGCCTTTTTACCCCGCCCTACTTGTGGCAGTGGTGGTGACACATCCGCCCCTCGGGACTGTGAGGGAAGTGAAATAGTGCGCTGCGCCAGCAAGCTTGGTGGGCCAGCGCCGGCGGAACGACACGCCATCCACAGGCACCCGACCGTGACCAAACTGTCGTCCCGCCGCAGCTCGCCCGCCGACGCTGGGCCCACGCGGCGTCGGTCCCGCCCCCGCCCCGCGCGGGGCACGCGCTCCCCGTGCCCGCGCCCCGCGTCCGGCGCGGCAGGGCGTCCCAACGAAGGGTCAAATCTCGAGCAGCAGAGCGTCCACCCACCCTCTTCTTACCTACTCTGGGTTTCTTGATAGGCGTGGGGGGGGTACCCCCCCGACGGGGGTCGTCACCCTCGCCTCGTCGTCGGGCCGCGACGGGGGTCGGAGCGGCTTCGGCGCGCGGCGGCTGCCCGCGACGGGGGTCGATGCGGGGCTGCCGGCGGGGGCGATGCCCCCCCGACGCTTACTAAGAAACTCGGAGTAAAGTTCCGTCAAGATGTTTGTTCGCCAACAGGTCCGCCCGCGCTCCAGCATGACTCCAGCTTCCTCAGTTTCGTACTCCAAGCAGCTCGGCGAGCCACCTGTGCATGTCTCGGGACCGATCCTTGGAGAGCGTTTTTCGCCGCAGCCTGCCTTGGGACCCAGGAGGACGTACTAATCCTATGCCCGCCCCCCAGAGGCGCCCATCCGAGTCGACCATGCAGCACAAACATCTTTCAGCATATCATTACCGAGGTTGTACGGCCAGACAGCGCCTACCACCGAGCATGTGCACGATTAGTTTTCTCAGCGCGCGCGTCGCCCCTGGTGAGGCGACGCACACATAGTATAAGTATGTCTGGGTGATGCCTATGTCGGCGTTGGCTTCAGTAATCACCGTGGGCGTGCGGGGAGGAGGTGTGGCAACGGTGCCCACGGACTCGCCCGAGCTGCCTTCCTGGACCCCCGCTCCTGTCCCGCATCGAATCTCAAGCGAACTAGGCTACGCTTTTCGCCCCCGAGGGGGCCAACTTGTGCAGCGTCGAACAAGCATCGTCGATTATGGGACCAGAGGCGGAGCGGAGAGATCCGGTAGACCATGACTCCGCTATTGAAACCTCCGCTCCCCCATCATCGCCCTTCCCCTACAACTGCCAATGGAGGAAATCGAGGCAGGCGGTTTGGCGCAACGCTGGCAACGGAGAAGGGTCAGAGCGCGCAGATGACACGCGGACGGCACGCCGAACGACGCGCCAACGCCTCGCACAACTGCCCGGGAAGACAGGTGTCACTTCGAGGGACGCACCATGAAAAGGGCGCAAGGGCATCGACGACAAGGTGCGCACTGTGCGGAAATGTACTGAACATGCGGAGCAATCTCGAAGCAGAAACAGAAGGCCCCCATATATGTGTGTATGTTTATAAATATATATGTACCTCGGCGCTCCGAAAGTTTGTTCCGATTTGAGAAGCACGGCGCCGCGCGAATGCAGCGCAAACGCTCAGTTGGAAAAGCGCGGCAATGCATGCCCCCTAAATGAGCGAGAACAGCCGCGCCCCCGTGCGAACCCCGATCCCGCGCGGGGCGCGTTCCAGTTGACAATGGTTCACCCGGGAAGCCGTTTCTTGCGCAGGAAATCCGAAACGGTCTGTCGGCGGCTCCTTCGGACGAGGCCCGGAACCACCGACAAACCGTTTTTGATAGGAAGTTCTTGGCGGTTTCTTCGGATTGGGCCCGAAGACCTCGAGAACGATGCTTTTGCAATGGGGTCCTAAGCGGTTTGCGCATTTTCGGGTCGTTCGAACCGGATCCGAAATATTGTTTGGCTCTAATCCAATGGGATTTGGCCACTTTCAGGTCGGCCGGTCAACTTTTCGGGTCGTCGTATGACCGAACCCGAAAGCTTGGAAGTCCGATGCCGTTTGCTCATTTTCGGGTCAGTACACCGTTTGGGATTTGAGAATGTCAACTGATAAGGGGAACCTGATCCCGCGACCCCGGGCGGGGGTTAGGCTCTGCCCTTGCATTGTGCTGGGCCCCTCCGGCCAAGCGGGGTGCTGGGCTGCCCATCGGCGCGCCGATTCTGCCCTCGCGACATCGCCCCCATCCGCCATCGGGCCCCGTGAGTCTTCTCCTGCGCGCGCCACCCCAGATGGCCGCGGCGAGCACGGTGGCGAAATTGGGGGAACTGTCGGATCGACGCAGTATATATATATATATATATATATATATATATATATTGTTCGCTATGTTCTGGCTCAGCAAGCCCGTCTCAGCCTTCCGAACGCCAGACAATCCGTCAATGTGGACTCCGGGACGGGCTTCGGAGTCTGCTGTCGTGGCACCGCGACTGGACTGCCAGATATTAAACCAGACACTGCCACCCCGCCCGACCCTCGTCAACAACAATCGAAAACTAGCCAACCCAAGAATGCCCCCCCCCATATTCGACCGACAACGTGTCGGTGCCACTGCCTATTTTCGTGAGCGGCGCCGTGTGTAACTCCAACAGCATGCAGCAGTGAAAGCACGCACCATTCGTGGACCAGGGTATGGACCCATCTCGATTGGAATCGAACTGATGCTTGAGCCTATCCCGCGCACACTAGGAAAAGAACAAACACATAAACATAAACTGTTGGCGCTCAACGCGGATTTCTTGGATCCGCGCTGGCCCCCCCCTCCCTGGTGCGCGGAGCGCGCCAGGGGCGGCGCAGGAGGCGCCGCCAGGGGCCCCCAGCGCGGATCCAAGAAATCCGCGCGGAGCGCCAAAAATTTATGTCTATGTGGCGTTTTCTTCTTCGACGCATGTCTCCCACCACCCTGCTCGCAATAGCGACCGTGACAAGCACGTCGACATATCGGCGCCCGGTGCGCAGCGGCGTGGTGAAGTGGTTCCTGACCTCGAGGATGTCATAAAGGTCGGATTCCAACATCGCCTGGGCAAGGTGTACCCCAAATCCCATATTAATCGACCCCCCCGAAACAACCGGACCCCCCTCCAAATGCGACCTAATATTCCGGACCCCCCTCTTCGACGGGGCGCCTTGATAAACCAGACCCCTAAGCTCCAACCCAAAGAAAACGCCATAATAAACTGGACCCCCCAGTTACAAAAAAAGCCTTCAAAGCCGGACCCAGGGGACGATGAATAAGGGATTTGGAATATGGATCACCCCTCGGGTGCTATTGCGCTGCCGCGCCGTGTCTTGCAACATCTGATCGTGTGCACGCAGCGGCAATGTGCAATGTGCAAGTTAGACAAGACTGTCTCGAGGGCCTGCTCCACAGCAAGCAAGCAGGCCGAGGGAGGGTGGGAGCGCACGGGCGAAGTGCTTCGCTGAGCGGCTGGACCAGGCTCCCTCTCGAAGACAGCGCCTGAGGGACAACACGTGCTTCGGCATAGGTTCGAAGGTCTAGACTGACGACGTGGCCACCTGACCCAAACTCAATACTTGTCTGGAGTCCTAGCAGTGCTGGCGTAGGAGCCGCAGCGTACCATCGGCATGGGCGGAAAAGGCGGACGAGCAGGAGAAGGGACGAGGGCACAGCGACGGTATAAGAAATCTAAGCGTGATATGCAACTCTATATAGAGAGATAGAGAGAGAGAGAGAGAGACAGAAAGTGAAAGAGGTCAGAAAAGAGAAACACACCACGACGAAACGTTTCATGCGCAATCGCATGCCGAATCATTAACATTGAGGATGCACACAGCAAGGGTGTACGTATACATCCTTCCTCTGGGTCGATTCCCCATGGGGAGGTCAAGCGCTGTGTAAATGTGTTTTTTTCAACATCCACATCAAGACTGCCACCAGCGAGACTGGACTGTAGTGATTTAAACCGCAATTTAAATCCGCCTCACACGGTGAGGTCTTGAATACCTTCGGGGTCGACCCTCAGACTCGAACTGTAGCTGGGGTAAAGACCTCGAAGCAACCTGCGCCAAAGACACTTCCTATGTGCCGACATCTTGCGGTCACACCTCCCAAAGAGGTTGGACTTCTTTAGAGACCCAGGACCGACAAAAGAGGCGCAGTGGGTGCAAATGTGCAACACTTCACCGTTGTCGCACGGCAGGCCGACCACGAAATGGCCGTTCCTCTCCATCTCCCCAAAATCCCAGTCCCCGCGTTTGCCCGAGCATCCTCTGGGCGGGGGGCGGAGCTGAGACCGAGAGGCCTTGAGACAGATATTGCATCGCCAGCGGCCTGCCACAAATTCCCAAACGTGCAAAGGGCGGACAGGGTGCCCTTCTCGGGCCCGCCCCACAGGGGCTTGAAACACCACATCTTTCAAATCTAGCCTCGGCCACTTAAACAGGAGAGCCGCGGCCAGTCTGCACACAGTTTTGGCCACTAGCAGCGTCTCTTCGAGGGCCTGGGACTGCTCGGCCGTGGGCTCGTCATGCAGACGCACCCCAGCTTTCGCGGCCGCATCGGCATGGAAATTCCCTCTCCGAAGCTGCATCTCTCCCTCAGGCACACCCTCTTCTTCGAGAGAGAGGTGGGCCTTGACTTTCTTCACAGATTTTATGTGGTGTGACACTCTCTGACTGTGCAACAAAAGCCCCGCATAGGGCCTCTGGTAGTGTAGCTGCTCACCCAGGGGTCGGTTAGCCTGTGCATGAACGTTGGCACAGTCCGTGTACATGTCACAGTCACCTTCCACGACTTGGCTAGAACAGCCAAAAGCGGCAAACTCCCCAGCTTGCGAGGTTTGGGGGAGCCCCGCATAAACCGTGCCGAACACTCTGCCTAGGAATCTGAAAGCCCGATCGAAAATCGCAAGACCCCAGGCCGCCCTGTTAAGCTCTGGCACGATACACCTGGTGCAGCTCCCGTCCAAGAACAGCTCCCCCCTCACCATGCCGTCCTCCTCCGTGACATCCTCCTCCCATTGCCACACGGTCTTACACTCCGTGTCTGGCCTCGGCCAATAGTCCCCTGGGTGTGGAAAGATACCGCGGGTAAGTAGGAGTAGGTCTTGGGGGTTTTCGCTGTCCATGTCGTCAACTAGCTTCTGGCACTCGTCTGATACTATCTCTGCGCGCTCTTCGGCACATGCCGTGCAGCGCCAAAATCTGTGGAGCAGCGTGTCTGGCCCTTGACCGCACAGAGGACACTCCACCGACTCCAGCTGGTAACCGAGGCAACGCGCACGAACTCGGGTCCAACTGGCGTCGCAGCCGATCACACGGATCGCCGCCTTGCCAGATGGTGAAACCTTGCTAGAGTGCAGGGACCGCTTGAGCACATCGTAGCACAGGCGAGGGACCTCCAGGACCGATTTTTGGGCAGCAACTCGCTCCAGACTCCGAAGGACAGCTTGACGCAACAATATCTTTAGGAGCCCAGGACTAACCTCCGTCAAAACTAACTTCTCCCCGAAATCGTTTTCCAAGGAGACCCAATCAATCATCTTCCACTGGATCCTCTTAAGGCACATGTACATCGCGGAGAAAGGCCCCGTGACGTCCCTCCACGTCTCTGGCGGGGGCTTGGCGAAGAAAATTCTCCACGCCTCGCGGAGCTCCGTGAAACTGAAACACCAGCGGTATGCACCTGAATGGGCACACCACAGCTCCTTAGAGTACCTGACAAGGGGCGCCACCGCCGCGAGCCACGTAGGCTCATCTTCTAAGATGAGAAGGCTTGTGAGCGATCTACCTTTACAGCTTGGCCCCATCACGGAGCCTGCCTGCTGCCGAATTCGGTGGAGCTCCCCGTCCGAGATCCCGTGGACTTCCGAACCATACAGCACCCCAGGGAGCGGACCCGAGACCCATATTTTCTTGGCGTGGGACGTGATCTGTTTTTTCATAATCCTCACCTTCCGAGTCTTGGCCTTCAAGTTGGCCATGCGGATCTTGAACTTGGACTCGCGGAGGGCCCGTCGGATGTAGGCCTTCCTGCGAGACCTGCCAGCAGTGAAATCTATACCTAAGTCCACAATGCTGTCGGCCAACGGGCCCGTGCGGTCGCCAAGGAACATCTGCAGCTCCCTGGCGACGGCCCCGTCCGAGCAAACGAGGTTGCCTTGGCCCGCCTTGGACAAAGAAATGGAGCAGCCGCACTCGTGGACCAGAGCCTGCTCCAACTGCCGAGAACCTTCTTTAATACCCCAAGACACGTCCTGAGCTGAACCCGTGGAGTCCAGACCCGAGTCGTCGATAAACTGAGCCAGGAAAACTCCCCGAGGAAGGTTCAGATTGCTCAGAGGTCCCAGAAGATAGACCCGAACCAGGGAAGTAGCCATCGAGCATCCTGCCACGACTCCACGAAGCGCGAAAAAGGGCCCAGCGACCGCTGAGGCCATGCTCACAAACCTCCCGTACCTGTAGGCAGACACGCACAACTGGGTGATGGCCGTGGGGAAACCGAACTTCCGAGCTTCAGCCACAAGCCTTTCGTGAGAAAAGTTTTCATAAAACTTAGTCATATCCCACAACAACAAGGCCGAGACTTCCCCTTTCCTAGTGCTGAGCTCGGCTCGGGCCGCTTGCCGCCACACCGTGTCGGCCGCGCAAGCGAAAGAACTGCCAGAGAAGAATATCCTAGCATTTCTCGCTTCCCAATCCGCCGCCAGCTCCCTTCTGCATTTCCCCCAAAGCCTAAACAGGGAGACAAACAACCCAATGGGCCGATAACCCCCCGACGCTTTAGAGAGAAACACCACCTGAATAATCTGGAGCTGGCGCGGCAGGCTGGAGAGCGATTCGAAGATCGCAAACAAGAGGCTCACCACCGCCAGCGCCGAGTCCGACAGCCACGAGTAGTGCCTCATGTGAAACCCATCCACCGCCTGTGCCGTGGTGGCCTTGAAAGCAGCGGCAGTCGACCTAATCTGGTCGATCGAAACCATGGGGAGGGGCTGACGCACCCCTTCAAACAAACTGTCGGTCGCCTCAGAGCCCGCGTGCCACAGCTCGGCCCAGCCAGAGGCCTCACTCTTGAGCAAACTCAAAGGGTCCGAAAGCACTAAACCCCCAGCCGATAAGGTCGTGGTGGCTTTCCAACCAGGGGCCTCCTTGGAGGCCAAGTGGGCATTCTTTCCCCCCTCTTTGATTTTTGTGAGCAGCCAGTTTTTCCACCCCATCTCGCCGTCGTGTCGAGCTTCCCCTTGAAGCTTGGTCACATACTGCTGCACTAAAACCAAAGCATCTTGAGCAGCCTCCAGCCACTCGGACTTGCCCCACTGCTGGCGCTCCCCGCTGGTGATCTTCCCGTCGGGGACGGCACGAACTAAGGACTGAATCGTGCTGAGATACTGGTCCCAGTCAACACAGCCGACGATAAGCACGAAGGACGGGGGCTTCAACAGGGACTCCCTGGTCTTCGAGGCCTCCAGAGCTCCGTCCCTATACTCGATGATCAGATCCTGGAACCTATGAGAAACCCACTTGCCCGCGAACAGCTTGGGGTGCCTGAAAGGAGGGGCCTTGTCCTTGATGATAGGAACCCAATGCAGTTGCGGTGACTTACTACGGGCACCATAGTAGGGCAGCGTGATCTGGGCCAAGTCGCAAAGCTCCCTCTCGGCCAAATCCGCCCAACTCCCGTAGACCCAATCAAGCATCTCCTGAGCCTCCGAGATCTGGCCCGAGAGCGCCGTACCTAAACACCCCTCAGCAGCGTCCTGCACCTCGCCCCAGTCTGGCGGTGAGCGGCCAACCCCAATCGGCCTCTCTCTGGGAATGGGCGGTGGCTTACGGAACGTGAGCGCGCACAGCTGAGCAAGCCGAGGAAAAAGCTGCAGATGGACGGGCTTGTGCGGTGTCAGCTGCGCCACCTGCACTATGCTCGTCGACTGAATACCCTTCGCAATGCCACCAGTGCACACAAAATAATCCAGGAAGTTCAGACCTCCCAACGATCTGCAGGTCCCAGAGCCAGCAGGCTTGATCAAAGACCCCTCCAACTTCTCAGGGAAACCCGACTTCAGAAGGACTTCAGGAGACATATTCCAGTCACCTCCAAGAATGGCCTGGTGCCCCGACATCTTAACAGTAGCCCCCGCAGTACTGAGAATGTCGAGGTTCCTGCTAGACAAACCTTCACTATCGTGCAAGTACGCCGACAGGACCAAAAACGGCACATCCCCAGGAAGGTGAACCAAGGCGTTGATGAGACGGCCAGCCGAAAGCGAGGAGCCCCACAGAGGCTCATGCAGCCCCAGGAACTCCCGCGCCAGGATGCCGACTCCCCCAGACGAGCCCTCACCTTGACCAGCAATGGCAGGGGTAAGTATCGCCTTCCATCCATGACGGCTGCACCACGACGTTGCCTCCCTCAATGCAGTGGGCTTGACGATGTGGTGCTCTTGCAGACAAATAATGTGCGCCGTCGTGTTACTGAGCCACTCTTTGAACGAGTTCCAGCAAGTGGCATTACAGCTTTCCACGATGAGACCGAAGCCAGAGGGGCAGGGCGGCTCTGGGGGGGCCTGCAGAAAGTCGAAAGAGCTAGCGGCTCCGATGAGACTGGGGACCCCTGGGTGACTAGCAGCACAGGCAGCACTGAACTCACACTGAAGCAGAGGGGGGAGCCTGCCTCCAGCAGGCTCCTCAGTAGACGAACCGCATGCCAGCGACGGAGGCGCTACCGAAGCCGCCGAAGACGACCCCGAGGTCCCACACGTCGTAGCCGAACTCGAAGTGAACGAACACCCAGGCGCAGCACTCGACCGAGTAACCGAACGACCTCTCTTAGCTCCCCGTCTCGAGCCTTGAAGACCGCCTGCCTGATGTACCCGCGCACAAGTCGGCACAGATGTCGACCCAATACTACCTGCGGGTGTCACCGCTGGGGGAACGCCCTCGCCCTGCCCAGAAGGCGCATGGCTCCCGCCAAGAGCTTTAACGTCCCCGACCGACTGGGAGCAGGGGAACGTGGCGCCCCCCATAGGCGAGCCCCCCGCAGGCGCGCCCTCGGCGCGGGTCGCTCCCCCCCCATTAACCCCCTTTGGGGGACCTCTGGCCACAGGTATGGCTGCCAGGGGCGGAGGGGGGACCCCAGAAGTGCGCGGCGTCGGAGCCGAGCAAGAAGAGTACCCACGTCTGGCCCCCGCCACAGAAGCCGAACGCGTCGTATATCCAGACTGGAGGCCAGTCTTCGCAACATCGCAGTAGGTGAAACGCACACGACATCCCCTGGTAGCTCTGGACGAACTGCCGCCGTGTCTCAGTATACTTCTCGAGTCGCTACCCACAATGCTTGGTAGCCTCTGCCTTGCCGCCGCTCGCCACCTCGGTCGCCGCTGCCACGGCTGCGCGAGCGGTGGCCTTGAGCTTCTCCGAGTCACCCTCAGCGCGTGCAGGCCCTGCAGGCTTAGCGACTTCAGGCTGTTCAGGAGGCGCCTCAGGAGCCTGCGCCCCCGTGATGCCGTCCCCGTCGCTGTCGGCAGCGTCTCCCTCTGCAGTGCGCCGCTTCTTGGCCGCGAGCCGCTCCTGCATGACCTTGTGCTCGGCCTGCAGCGCCTGGCCCTTCTGGCGCACCTCTCCGAAGAAAGCGCCCGCCATCTGCTTGAAAGACTCCAACATCTGCTTCTTCCTGGACTTTGCCTCCTCCAAGGCCGCCGAGCCGAGCTCCTCGAACTCTGTGTAGCCGAAGAGCCCGTCGTCCTCCAGGTCGATGTCGTCCAGCTCGCCGTCCATGAGCTTGGCCAGCGAGAGCTTGATTGGTTCCACTTTCGCAGGGGCCTGACCGCTGACCCCCGCGGCCACTTCTGCCACAGCGACCCTGTACTCGCTCTCGGCCGAATCCAGCTCCGACACCAGCTCGGAGACCAGAGCCTTCTGCGTCTCCACCTGTTCCAGCAGGTTCGCCAGCACCGCGTTCTCGGCCTCGAGCTTTCCCTTCGTCTTGCGCACCCGCGCATGTGCCTTGTTGGCCCTGAGCTGCGCGGGCTTCTTGTCCTCCGAGCCCTTGTCAGCCTGCTCCAACAACTGTTTGTACTTCGCCGCCGTCGCTTTGTCACCAGATCTTTCAGCCATGGTGACCATCGAGCGCAACTCGTCCTTTGACAGGGCCGTGGGCGCCTCAGGCAGAGACTTGATGCGGATGGCTTCTCGGTACTTCTCGGCCATCTGCTTGTCCCCCTTCTGCTCAGCGAACACCACGAGCGCCTGCATGGCGTCCACTCCGAGATCCGGGACGGACGAGCCAGCAGCACCAGCAGGCCTGCCAGCACCCCCACGAGGCGTATCACGCGCCCACGGCGGCTTGGACTCGCCCCCGTTGCGCTCCTTGCCGCAATGCTTGCACCAGCGCCAATGAGCCTGGTTCTTGGCGCACCGACAGTCGGCCTGCGAGCACCGCCAGAACTCCCCTCCTTCCGACCGAGGTCTCGATGGCGCGCGGGACGGCGGCCTGGAGCTCCTGCCGCCCTTGCCACTGTCGCCAGCACCCATGGCCACGAGATGACCGTCTCCGTGGTGGTGCCGCAATACGCGCCTCGCGCGCTCGAGCGCCAGGAGGCTGCGCGCACTGGCGCGCCGCCTCCGCAGCCGCCTGTGCCAGGCGGGCGAGGGCGGCCTATGGCGGCGCCCTAAGCTCTCCGTGACGCCCTCCGCCCCTCGGGCAGAAGGCTGGGGGCTCAGGCAAACGGGCCCCCTGTGGCCCGCAGGTCTGAGCCAGAACCTGCTGTGTAAATGTGTCCAGCTGGGACTCTGGAGACACACTCCCCGATGTCGAACTTCCATCTCTGAAGTACATGTGGACATGACCAAACTTAATCGGCTCTGTGCCCAGGGTGGTTGCAAATGGCAAGTGATAGGACACGTAGAGAAGAAGGGAATTTGGACTCTCGAGGTAGCCCCCCTGGTCATTCATCAGGCCTGGACGGGGTGTTGTCTACCAGGGGCCGAACTCATGCAGCCGCAGCCCCGCGGGAAGGCCAGGATCCTGAGCGGGGGCTCGCACACTTCAGCAGAGACTGACCAGACCCTGCAGGAACGCTCCGACGTCTCTTGTCGATGCTCCCTGCGGGAGTGGATGAGTCAGCCGAGGCTTCGCCGGGTGCACGGCTGGTGCCCGCCCGCGTGCGCCTCGTGGGCGCCTCGAGTGCCGAGCGGGTCCGCAGGAGCTCCGCCGGCGCCCTGCGGGCGCCTCGTGGGCGCCTCGTGCTGGGCGGGTCGGCCGGAGCTGCGCCCAGTGCCCGCCCGCGGGCGCCTCGCGGGCGCCTCGCGGCGTGGGGGTCGGCAGAGGTCCCGCCCGGGGCCCGCTCGTGGGCGCTCCGCGCCGAGCGGGTCCGAAGTGTCGCCCGGTGCCCTCCCGGGGGCGCCTCGTGGGCGCCTCGTGCGCCGGGGGGTGGGTTCCGCCGAGGCGTCGCGTGGCGCCGGCCAGTGGGCGCCTCGTGGAGGACTCGTGCGCCCGGGCGGGTCCGCCGAGGTTGCGCCTGGTGCTCGCCTGTGGGCTGGGCGCCGCGTGGACACCGCACAGGTGGCACCACAAGGCTCTTGCACCACGTGGCTCGCACCGAGGAGCGCTTGCGCCGCACAGCTTCCGCCGCATATCGCACAGCTTGCACCTCACAGGTGGCGCCACACAGCTTGCACCACGCATGATTGGACCACACGGCTTGCGCACGCGTCCACGGTGTTTCTTCGGGGCCCACGCTGGCAAGCCTTTCCAACCTTCCAGAACACTGCGTCCACCGAGGGGTGCTTACGAGCGTCAGCCGGGCGGTCCAGGCCTTCCCCTGGTGGGCGCCCGTGGGCGCCGCGTGCGCTGGCTGGGTGTGCCGAGGTCTCGCCTCGTGGACGCCCGTGGGCGCCTCGTAGGCGCCCCGTGCGGGGTAGGAGACGGGGGGCAGCACAGTCAACCCGTACCATACGGATGCGCGGAAAGGGTGCAGGGGCCTTGGAAGCCCACGTTGACGTTTTCCGCGCGAGGTTGGCCGTGGGAAGTCGCTAAGGACGTGCCGAAGGGGCAAGGATGCAAGGGCAGCCTCAGGAAGGTTGCCCGTTGTTGCTGTGCGGGTGGGCTGCAGCCTGCGCCACACAGCTGGCGCCACGCAACTTTATGATTGGACTACACAGCTTGCGCACGCGCCTACGGTGCTTCGTTGGGGCCCACGCTGGCAAGCCCTGTCGACCTTCCAGAGCAATGCTTCCGCTGGGGGCTTCTTGCAAGAGTTGGGCGGGCGGTCCGGGCTTGCCGCTGGCGGGCGCCCCGTGGGCGCCTCGTGCGCGCGCGGGGTGTTCCGAAGAGTGCCGCCTCGTGGACGCCCGTGGGCGCCCCTGCGCGGTGTAGGGAGGCTGGGGGCGGTCGGTGATCATCGGAACTGTGGGCGGGCATCCTCCGCGGGAGCTGCTGTTGTCGCAGCAAGGAGGGGTGCCGTTGCCACCAAGCAGCAACATCCCAGCGTCCACGGGGCGCACATCGGTCAAGAGGGAACGAGGTCGCACTGAGGAGGCGTAGATCAACATTGCTTGTTGACCACGAGGTTCAAGATGCCAACCCAGACCGCGGAATCTGACTTCAGCCCCGCCAGCCCTGCCTCGCAATGGGAACCGCGGGATCCAAACATTCAGTGTCCCGTCAGATGCCTGAAGGCCCGCCATGAGCGTCTCGCAGTTTTCGAAGACCAGCGTCGCCCTCGCGCAAGCGAAGGCTACAAGGAAAACGGTCCGACTATTCGATGCGTGCTAACATTCAAAACGTGTTGCCCCCTTCTCCTAGCCCCATGCTGACCTCGCCATCCAAAGAAAAAACACTGCAGGCGCTTTGTCCATCTCGACGCAGGAAGACAAGCAAGCCATCATGAATCGCAAGAGCTCGAGACGCAACCTCAACTCCACACCAACATCTGTTCTCACTGACGGGTGATACGTATCCATCATGTACACACGACACAATTAAGTTGACACAATTAAGTTGAGCCAACAACATCGCAATGGAACATAATGTGCCAGCATGCTCCTGCTAGTCTTTGGCCCGCTGACGATGGCCACCCCTTGCAGTTGCAACAGCCGTCGAAAAGAAACGACAAATATATCAGAACGCCCTTTCTGACAAAAACAAGGCGCACACTGAAACCGCAAAACAGACCCCGATCAAACACCTTAAACGAAAACCATGCTAAACGGGACATAAGCAAACCCGAGACAACCGGAAACGTTGGTCGCAACATCCCCAGTTGCTTGTCTTCTCCAAGTGGGTGTGGCAAAGACCTTGTTTGCAATGTCCAAGTTTACGAGGCCCTGAACCGACTGTGGACAACGACTTTCGGTTGGAGCCCGACTTGGGGGTGGGACGATAAACTAAAGGAGCGAAGAAACGTCCACCTTTCGCGTCCGTTTAAGTGCCCGCTTAGGTGTCAAAACAGGGACCCCATGTTTAGATGTTCCATGTAGGTGTCCCTTGGAGCCCCTAAAAGGCCCAAGGGGCCCCTTTAACGCCCCGCATGGCGCACAAAAGGTGCACGCTCTTCATCCCCCCACTCATCGCCCCCGTAGTACAATGTGGACGCGGTCGCAAGACACCCTCGCAAACAAAAAACAACAAACAAAAACAAACCTGAAAAGCCGCGCGCGACGTGCAACTAAAAGAAAACACGGAACACACTGAACGCACCAGCTCCTTTCACGGCCGCGGGAAGTCACCGCGCAGCGCGCGGAGCGAACAACCCCAGGGTACCCTGACGAAACAAATTGTTTTTGGGGAAAGCCAAGAAAGTACCGATACCGCTACTTCCCGGACCTATCGGGGGGTGCGTTATGACGAGGATGTCAAGGCGAATTCACCGGTGGCGACGAGGGCCCTCCAGGAGGCCGAAAAAGGGAAAAACGGGCGAAGGGTAGAGGTATGGGTACCTCTTCCTCCTCTGCATTTCTTGATGCGCGCCCCCGCTGTGCGCAACGCCCCACCGCCTGTCAAACCTGGGCGGCTCCGGAGCCCCCAGGTGTTTAGGGAAACGGGGGCCTTTTGCCCGCTCGGGGCCTCCGCCCCCCCACCCTCCGTTCGCGCTTTGCGCGAAGCGCGAATCACCTCGCGCTCTCGCGCCAACGCCCGCGGGGGGTGACCGAGAAACGCGACGAAGTTCGCGCCCTCGCAGGGAGGTGATCGAAAGGCCGGGGACCCATGTCTCGAGGGACGCCCGCTGAGGAGGGCGGCCGCGGAGGAGGAGGCGAAGGCGCCTGACTTCGCGCTTCGCGCTGCGCGAAGCGCGAGTCACTTCTCGCTCTCGCGCCGCCCTTTGGGGGAGAGGAGAAGGCTGAGGAGGAACCGGAGCCGAACCGCGAAACGCGAACAAATTTCGCGCCCTCGAGGGCGCCCTCCGCCGACTCCCGGCCGAAGACGAAAGGTCCACGAGAACACGCCATGCTTTTTTGTCGCGGCACCAGCGATCGCGCGAAGCGCGGTGGAAGCCCCAGCGGGCTCGCTGCAAGGCGAATCTCTGGCACAACACACCGGAAAGCACGCGGAGGGCGTTCCCGGATATCTGGCGAGTCGAAGAAATCAAGGCGAGGTTTTTCGTGGTTTTCGGTTTCTCAAAGCCCCCTGCCGGGCCCAGGGACAATCGCAAAACGACTGGGGGATGAGAAGCCGGTCCCGGAGAGGTGATCGAGAGGCCGAAGGCCCATGTTTCGATGGCAGCACGCGGAAGAGGGCGGCCGCGGAGGAGGAGGCAAGGGCGCCCAACTTCGCGCTTCACGCTGCGCGAAGCGCGAGTCACTTCTCGCTCTCTCGCCGCCTCCCAAGGGAAAGGCGGGGGATGAAGAGGGATCGGGGCCGAACCGCGAAGTGCGAGTACCTTCGCGCCATCGATAGGGGGCCCTTGAGGAAGAGAGGGGAGAGGCGGCGCGCTCAGACCGGGAGGGGGGCACGACTTTCCCACGCGCCAGGCGACACTGCTCTTCTCCCACCTTCTCGAAAACTGTCCCCGCGCACCAAGACGGCCCCCAAGAGGCCCCCGAGAGGGCCCCGAGGCGCGCCGAGAGGGACCCAAGGCGTGAGACGGCGCCAAGACGAAGACAACACCGAGCGAATATTCTCATCGAGAACCTATGAGATCCGGCGGCTCTGGAAGATGTATCGAACGTCGCGGGCTTCTGAGAGCGATCCGGGGCGCTCTGAGAGCGCAGGAGGAAGAAGATCGAGACCAAACCCGAAGATGAAGATCAAGCGGCCAAAGGCGAGCCCTCTGCGGCCGCCCCGCCGGGGTAGCGGTCCTAGTCTGGCTGCCGACAACGAAGGTGCCAGAGCCGCCCCCGGCTCCAACACGCGCCAGCGACCCAGCCAAGGACCGACCCTGCTGGCGGCGAGGAGTGGGCACTCGACTCGGCCCTCCCGCCCGACCACACTCTCCAGGGTCGCACCTGCTCCTCGGCCGGGGCGACCCCCCCTTGTCTGCGCCCCAGCAGCAGCTGGGCGCGGGGGGGGGCCGCCCTCGCGGAAGCGCCGCGCAGCTCTGGGTGCCAGCCCCGCGACGGCGCAGCTGCGGCGGCGCGGCCGCCTCCTGCGCGGCTGGGCGGAGCCCAGCGTTCGCGCCCAAGCAGCGGCCAGGCGCAGGGGGGGGGCCGCCCCCGCGGTAGCGCCGCGGGGGGTGCCGTCCGGCGCCGGCGCGGCTGCGGCGGCCGACTGCCGACCCGCCGCAACGCGCGAGAACGCCGACCACGGGGGGGTGACCAGTGTGTCCGATCGCGATTGATCGCCTGAACCCTCCTCCTTGAACCAGAGCCAAAATCCTCCTCCTCCCCCCCCCCTCCTCCTCTCCTCCTCCTCCTCCTCCTCCTCTCTCCTCCTCCTCCTCCTCCTCTCCTCCTCCTCCTCCTCCTCCTCCTCCTCCTCCTCCTCCTCCTCCTCCTCCTCCCTCCTCCTCCCTCTCCTCCTCCTCCTCCTCCTGTCACCAGAGAAATAAACAAGTACCTCAACATATGTTTTCCCAGCTCCGCGCGGATTTATTGGATCTGCGCTGGACCCCCCTCCGGCGCCGCCCCTGGGCGCGCTCCGCGCGCCAGGGAGGTAGGTCCAGCGCACATAATTAAACAAATTCTGCTGATGCACCCTAGTGGCAGGAGGAAGAGGAGAAGGAGGAGGAGGAGGAGGAGGAGGAGGAGGAGACGGAGGAGGAGGAAGAGGAAGAGGAGGAGGAGGAGGAGGAGGAGGAGGAGGAGGCCTCGAAGGCAGGGCCAGTCTCAGGCCTCCCCGACAAGGCTTGCGCCTGGCTCGCCCAGCCTGCGTCGGTTTCCCGAAGGAAGTTGAGCTGCCCACTGTACACTCCCTCTTTCTCTCCCCCCCGTCCCCTGCCTCTGCGTTTGCCCTCAAGTCGCCGTTCCTTTTCTCTTCGTGCTCTCTGCCCGCCTCCCTCCCCCTCCCCGCCCAGCCGTCCCTCCACTCCGCCCCTGGCCCTGGGCTGGCGGAGGTGGGAGCGCAACAACGAGCCCGGCGCCACCTCGGCACCACCATCTCGGGGAGTGGCTGGTAGGGAGGGGGAAAGACAAGCTAGGTGCGCTCGCGTCATATCTGACGTCCTACCCCTCCCTCCCATCCCTTACCATGGCGCTGATTTACTCTATCCGCGGACGCGTGTCGTAGCGGACCTGTGGCTCCGCGCGCGCGTGCGTAGTGGGTGGTGGTGCGCGTGCGTGCGTGCGTGCGTGTGTGCGTGGTTGTGGTGGTGGTGGTGGTGGTGGTGCTGGTGGTGTGGTGGTGGTGCTGGTGGTGGTTGGTGGTTGTGGTGGGTGGTGGTGGTGGTGGTGGTGGGTGGTGGTGGTGGTGGTGGTGGTGGTGGTGGTGGTGTGCGGCGCGTGGTGGCGGGCGGATGGGCGCGCGAGAAAGAGGCCCGCGCTGGGGCGAGAACGCCATCCTGAACGACGGAGGCCAAACACCGATCCGAAAATGAGGCCCACGCTGCAGCGGGAGCACGATTCGGAACGATTCGGGAGCAGAAATGAGGCCGGCGCCTTAGCGAGAGCAGCATTTTGAAAAAAAAAAAAAAAAAAAAACAAAAAAAAAAAAAAACGCAGGCGAAAACCCGTTTCCCGGGAATCCTGTGTGTAAAAAACAGTACGCGGGGGGGGTCGGATATCTTCGGGACGCCATCAGGGGAAGTGGGAGAGTATTTTCATATTGTGCAATTGTGGAGGAGGTTGGTCCCCTGCCTCACTCCTTCCCTGTCCCGCTCTCTCTCTCTTCCATTGGCGCAGTCGTGTGACTGCCGCGCCGCACCACCCTCACTATGCGATGGGCGGCATGCGGGCGGGAGAACGCCAGCCCTCGGCAGCCTGAGCCGAGGGATGGCTGATGACGGATCGGGCGAGGAGGGAGCCAACTGGGATGTCTGAAAGACATTTGCAGGAGGAAGCAGGAGGGAGGAGGAGAAAATGAGGAGCGGCGGGTTGCAGCGCGTGGCCTTGCTAAGTCCAGCAGGTGCTGGTACTGCTTCTGCCCAGCGCTGGGTGCATAACGCACGAACGCTTTCGTCTCTGCTCTCTCCTGCTTCTTGGGCCCTGGGTTGTAGATGAACTGCGCCATTGGGACCTCACGGTTTGACTTGTATGGGTAATCCGCTCATCTGAACACTGATGTCGCTCTCGTTCATCCTTAATACATCACGATCGCAGCGTGATATCCCAGCTACATAGGACGTCCATGCACACATGTACCTGCTAGATGATGCTTCACGCCACGGTGCCCACTAACAAATCAACATAATGAAGCACGAAAGAAGACCGCCATCGACTGTGCTTCGATCACTCCCAGCGGAAACTCCTCTGCGTCCTTTGCGGCGGCGCGCAGAACAGCGGTGCAGGCAGCGTCGCGCGGAGAAGACGCGTAGAGCCAGCCGCATATCCTTCTGCTGGTGCCTATTCGTCATCCTGCTGTTGCTGCTGTCCTCCTCCTCCTCCTCCTCCTCCTCCTCCTCCTCCTCCTCCTCCTCTCCTCCTCCTCCTCCTCCTCCTCCTCCTCCTCCTCCTCCTCCTCCTCCTCCTCCTCCCTCCTCCTCCTCCTCCTCCTCCTCCTCCTCCTCCTCCTCCTCCTCCTCCTCCTCCTCCTCCTCCTCCTCCTCCTCCTCCTCCTCCTCCTCCTCCTCCTCCTCCTCCTCCTCCTCCTCCCCTCCTCCTCCTCCTCCTCCTCCTCCCTCCTCCTCCTCCTCCTCCTCCTCCTCCTCCTCCTCCTCCTCCTCCTCCTCCTCCTCCTCCTCCTCCTCCTCCTCCTCCCCCCCCATGCTCCCAATATTTACTAGCTAATTTCCTCCTCGCCGTCATCCTCTCCCTCCTCCCCTTCCTCTTAATCGTACAACTCAGACGCCTCTCCTGGCGAGGGCGGTTCACCCGAAGGCAAGACATGAAAAGTGAGCAGGTGGCTCAGAGGGGCATCCCGGGCCTCCGAATCAGCAAACCATCCGCGTGACATGGGAGGGAGGAGGGGGAGGCGGAGGGAGGAGAAGGAGGAGGGAGGGAGGGAGGGAGGGAGGAGGAGGAGGAGGAGGAGGAGGAGGGGAGGAGGAGGAGGAGGGGAGGGGAGGAGGACCAAAGTAGCCCCAGGAAGAAAAGAAGGAGGAGGGGGGGGGCCACAAGAGGCGCCCCCTTGAAAGGGAAGCACCCGCTGGGCCTGCAGTTCAGGCGAACCTCTCGCTTCGAAACCGTAGCGAGTTATAGGAAAAGGAAAGGCTAGGATCATTCAGGTCAGCGATGTGTCTAACGGAAGCCTCCTCCTCCTCCTCCTTCTCCCCCCTCCTCATCCTTCTCCTCCTCCTCGCCCTCCTCCTCCTCCTCTCCTCCTCCTCCTCCTCCTCCTCCTCCTCCTCCTCTCCTCCCTCCTCCCCCCGTGTCTAGCGGTTTGAACAAATACCGCCCTCCCTCCGCCCCAACGTGCAACCAATGCCTCCGTGTGCACTTCTGGCAACTACACGCTCAAGGAGCTCTAAAACGAGAGCCCCAACTTGACAAGAACCAGTCTCCCATCCGAAAAGCGGTTCCATGTGTTGAGAATCCCCGGTTTTTACATCTAGGGGTCTCTCATGCGAGAGCCACATTTTGGAAAACAGCTACCATCCATCCTCGTAATGGTTGCGAAGGGTTAGTACGCATGTGCGAGGCGCTATGGCTAATTTGAGCCACGGTTTGAAAAGGAGTAGTCTTCCGTAGTGTGAACTGCTACACGCCTTTAGCACGAAAGTGCGCGGCGCTAAGAACCTTTCTAAAAACATCTCCCCCCCTGTATCCCTGAGTCTGCTGCAAGCCTCTTGAGACGAATGCGCACGCCGCTGAACCGAGAGCCTCCCCGTCCTTTTCCCGCCGCGGGCCTTGAAACACGCACGGCGAACGCTAAGTCAAACGCCTCATTCAAGTGAAGCAGAAATCTGCCCATCTACCATTGTAAGCGTTGGCAATGTCGAGCTTTCGGATCATAAATTCTGAGAGGTCTCTGGCGAAACGCTGAGCCTAACCCCAGGAAGCATTTAAGAACCCCCCCGGCGATATCTTAGCACCGCATTTTTATTCGATATTCCGAGGGGCCGAAATAACCGCACGATAGGTTTAGCACCCGGACACACAACAAATTCGCGGAGGCCTGGCCCCTGGGCTACAATCGAGGAGGAGGAGGAGGAGGAGGAGGAGGAGGAGGAGGAGGAGGAGGAGGAGGGGGCAGGAGGAAGTTCGTGGGTGGAGGAGAGGAGGAGGAGGAGGAGGAGGAGGATGAGGAGGAGGAGGGCTCCTGGTGCCAGGTAACGCTTCCAGGGTGCGGAAGGGTTATCGATTTGCCGGAAGGGGGGGGGGGTTCTTAAATGCTTCCTGGGGTTACCACGGCGAGACGTCGGTGGGTGCGACGGGCCGGGGTTCTATGTATTGTAATATGTATACATACACATATGTATATATATACACATATAACTATACATATATATATATATATGGACAAGGTAGCGTGGAGGAGGAGGAGGACGAGGAGGATCGCTAGGACGAGCAGGAGTTGAGGGAGCGACAGGAAGGCAGAGGAGGCAGGAGGGAGGACGAGCGATCCCCGACCGGCCGCCCGATGACCGCACTGGAGCCACGCGCCGTGCGGGCGCGGAGGCGGGCAGCGGCTGCGAACCGCGGCCGCTCCTCGAGCCCGTCGAGCTGGAGCTTCTGCAGCAGCTGCCTCTGCGCCAGCTCCGCCGTGGCCATCAGCGCCGACATGTCGTGCTCAACCTCGCGGGGGGGGGGGGCAGGGCAGGCGGGGCGGGGCTGCAGCAGCGCACGGCACCGGGGTGGACGAGGGGCCAAAAGCTGGCAGAGAGGAGGGGCCCTGCAGCTGTATTCGTCGGGTGCCTCGAGGGCCTGAGACCGGCAATGCATCGAGGAACGTGCCTGGCGGCAGAGCCGAGGAACGGCTCCTCGCAAAAATGCGCCGACCCAGTCGGCGTGCGTGAGAGGCTCTTGCGCACGAGGCCGGCCCGACCCAAACTGAAGTACACCAGCCTTGTCCGAATCGTCGTCGCAGTGAGGGAGGCCGAACAAACGAGGGGGGGTCGAGCAAACACGGGGGATCGAACGGCCTTCACCGTCTCCTACCCCCTTCGTGTCCTCCGCCCGCCCAGGTGCGGCCCGCCCGGCCTGCTGGGTGGTCTGCGGAGGTCCCCCCGAAGCCTCCGACCCTGCAGTCGACGCATTCCGCCGAGGCGCCGACCACATCAGCCCCTATGTGATTTCACTCGATCGGTATTTCGGCCAGCGCCCACACACATACACACATACAAACATACATGTACATATATATATATATATATATATATTGATACAATACATATATATATATAAATATAAATAAAAGCAGACTGTTTATATATAAGCATATCAGCAGTCTGCTTATATGCATGAGGCACACATTGTTAGCCAGCGCGGGTCACATAGAAATCTCTGGCAGCCAAGGCGGTGGAGTCAAGTTGGTGTGACGACTGTGGTGCAATCTAGGTGGTGCAATATGTGGCGCGATCTATGTGGTACGAAGCAATGCACAGCAGCGTAAAACAATGCCGCGCAATGGCAGAGCAATGCAACGCAGCGCAAAACCATTCCAAGCGATGCCAAGAAGTGCCAAACAATGTAAAGCTACGAAAAGCAATGCTAACCAATACAAAACCAAGCAACCTAATGCCAACCAATGAGATGCAAATTAATGGACATGCAATGCAAAGCAACGCAAAGAAGCGCAAAGCAATGCAAAGCAATGCATGCAACGCAATGCACAACAATGCAAAGCAATGAAACGCACGGCAACGAAATTAAACTCAATGCAAAACAATGCAATGCAACGCGATGCCAATCAATGCAATGCAATGCAAAGCAATGCCACGCAATAGCACAGCAATGCAAATAATAACATGAAATCCGACGCCATGCAAAGCAATGCGCAGCAGGTGGAAGGCAGTGTAAAGGCATGCAACTAATTTGCAGCAGTGCAACAGCGTGCAGAGCAATGCAAGCAGCGCGAAGAAATGCATCGCAGCGCACAGCAGGGCAAAGCAGCTTGAGACAATTCAGAGCAATGCCAACCACTGCAGACCAACGTGATGCGATGCGAGGGACTCTATGATGAATGCAAGTGTCGGGTCGGGCGAAAGGGGGGGATAGCAAAGCGGGGTTTGAGAATCAGCTCTCGTAGCTGATTCTCCCGGCGCCTCCCGGCGCCAGAAGGCGCCAATGTATATCCAGGCATGGGCCCCTCCGTGGGGCAGAAACCAGCTGCGTGCAGCAGATTCCGTAAACCCCCCCTTTCCCAATCGCCCCCTTTTCGGGAGACTCTTCATGGGGGGGGATCCCATGGGGGGATAGGATCCCAGGGGGGGGATCCCCTAGGATCCCCCCCATGGAGAGTCTCCCCCCCTTTCGCCCGGCCCGAAAGTGGTGGCGACGGACGGCGGCGACGGGCCGGGACGGGCCGCGACGAACGGAGCAGACCGTCCCTGGGGCCCCGCGGCGACGTCGCCGACGGGGGGCGAGCGGGCGGCGACGCGCCGGCCAGGCCACCACGGAGCCCCGGCTGCCTCGGAAGAGAAGGAAGAAGAGCTCCGGAGTGCAGGCGCTGGTTCGGGAATCTGTGTGCTCGGAAGAAGCGCCGTGGTGCCCTGAACAGAGGACAAGGCTTCTTGCCTCCCCCCCCCTCGTAAGCAACGACGACGAAGTGACGACAACGACAGCGACCAGCCAGGACGGCGACGACGACAACGACGAGCGGCGGCGGCGGTGGCGACGACGACGACAAGCGGCGACCACAACGCTGACCAGAGGCGACGACGACAAGTGGCAGCGACGACGCGTAGTAGCGGTACAGATGGAAGAGACGTAGCAATGATAATAGAAACTGTAATGTACAAGAATCAATCGAACTAGTACTGCTAATGGTGGTCCGACGATTTGCCCTACCAGTACTACTGCTACTATACACTACAGCGGATACTACAATCACTACTGATGCTACAACTACAATAACAAAGACTACTCCGAGCATGTGTACCTCTAGCATTACTTCTACTATTACTGCTACGACTGGTACGGCATGTGCGATTTCTACCACAATTTCTGCCACTAGAGCGCAGCACGTAGAGCGCAGCTGAGCGTAATACTACCAGTAGTCTTATTAATGGAAATAATAAATAGACATAAATGCAAACATGAAAACAACAATTGCAGCGAAAAGGTAGTATCATTGAATACTACCGTGTTTCTTATGTGTGATGATAGGACTAGGCGTAGTCGTAGCCCAAGTAAAAAATAAGATTGGTAGCGGTCGTGTTCGTAGTGGTGGTAATGGTGAAAGGAGGTGCGACCCCCCGTAACGGACGTTATGGTCTCAACTCTCAAAAAAAAAAACGCTCTCGACTTTGAAATGGGCTGCGCCACTCACGGACGAATCGACCCAGTCGAAGGGGAAGCCTCCTTCCCCTGTGATCCCTTCCCCCGCTGGGAAGGGGGGTCCCAGGGGGGTGGGTTGGAAGAGATCCTGCCCGCTTGGGCTCCAGGGAACGCCAGCTGCGCGAATCCTGTGTACCGCGTTGTGGATGCAAGCCACTCTCTGCACACGCCCCTCCTCCTCCTCCTCATCAGCATCCTCCTTCTCATGCTCCTGTCCTCCTCCCAAGTCAACATGGTATCCACCCCCAGAGCATCTTTACCCCATGGTGCTGAAACGGCTCCGATCCCATCTCGCTGGCAGGAACCAATGCGGCGCCACGCGCTACAAGATATGTCATGCTTGCCTGCTGGGCACGGGCAAACCGTGGCAGAACCTGCGGACTTGGGCACATGGGTACATGTTTGCGAGCACGAGCAAACCATTGCAACCTTTTCCGGTATCATTCCGTCGCACCGTGTCAAGCCACAACTCGAAGCTTACACATTTGATGGCCCAACGGAAGACCAGATCGTACACAAGTGAACCGTTGTATGAACAAAACCAGATGCGCTGAGCAACCCCCGATCCCATCCGCCCAAGATGCAGCCATTGACAACTGCGTTATGATGCGAATTCTGGCCTATCGTGTGAGCAGGCCACGAACTGTAATATGCCGACATGGTGCATCCTACCACCTGCATCCCGGCGAACGTACGCCCGACTTGCTTGTTGGAAGAGCCGGTCCCAAATCAGGTGAACCAAACAGGTCGGGCGCCCCGGCTTCAGCTGCAAAGGGGGTCGCGCGATTTGAGTGTCCGTCGCATGTTGAATGTGCGTCGGACTGGTAGGCAAACGAGTCACCCAAGAAGAGGCGAGTAAGAGTAAGAGTAAGAGTAAGAGTAAGAGTAAGAGTAAGAGTAAGACTCGCCCAAGAAGAGACGAGTCGGCACGCGCGGCGGCGCAAGCCCGTGACCCGCCCCCATAAACCGTCCACAGGGACGGATCGGCCCCTTCAGCGAGGAGGCGAAAAGGAAGCCGCACCCGAGAACAACACCACACATTGGTCGAAGGGCACGGCGATGAGAACAATAGGCTGGCGCCCCCACGCGGCGAGCTGCTCCCCTTGAGGAACTCTCCCCGACGGGGTGGGTGGGGGGGGTACTGATCTCCCGCAGGAGCGTACTCACCCTGCTCCACAATAGGAGCTCTCACCGGGACTGCCCCTCCAAGGAGAAGTTCCTCTGCTCGACCGGGCCGCAGCCCCCACGCCGAACGACTCCAAGCAGGAGAGGCAGGGCGGCAGCCAGGCCTGCTGGCCGGGGTGCGCACCGTCGCCGCCTCCAGCGCAGCACCCAGCGCGTCGAGGAAGCGCCCGTCAACTTCCACGAGGAGTGGGAGGCCCTGCGCCGGCCGGCGCCGACTCCGCGGCGCGGAGCCCGGCCATGGCGGCCGCCAGGGACCGACGCCTGCGCAGCACCTCGACACGTTGCCTTCTGCGAGGGCTCGCACGGTGGCTTCGGCCGCGCGGGCGGACGCGGGGTCGCTCGCACGCGGAGCCTCCTCGCCTCCGCCGCCGTGCCGCCGCTCCGTTCCCGACCCCTCGGACGTCGCCGCCACCTCCACGCTGTCCCGCCTCCTCGATGTCGGGGCCGTCGGGGGCCGCGGGAGCTCGCACCGCCTCCGCAGCGGCCGCGGCGGCGAGGCGCTGGAGCTCCGCGAGCTCGGCCTCGATCTCCAGAAGGTCGGCGGGGCCAGGGGAAGACCCCAGCTGCCCGAGGGGCCCCGCGCCATGCTCGCCCCCCCTGCCCCTGCCCCGCCCTCGGCGGCTCCGCGTCGGCCTCGGGGCCAGCACGCGCGGCATCAGCACCTGGCGCACGCCTCCGGTGGGTGGCCGCCGCCTCGCCGTCGGCGCCGCTCGCGGACATTGGCCGTCAGCGCGCCGAGGAGGGCGCGCGCGAGGAGCGGCCGCCGCTGGCCGCGGTGCACCTCGATGGCGCCGAGGCCGTCGGCGAAGTGCACGGCGGCGCGGCCGGATGTGCGGGCGCGTTGCGCCCGCCGCTCGGCCGCCGAGCGGTTGTCTTTCTTGGTCGGGAGGCCTCTCAGGGGGACTTGTGGGCCGCCTCCGGGCCTTCGGGAGCCCTCTGGGGCCACTCTGGGGGCCCTGTGGGCCGTCGAGGGGGTCGCTCGGTGCCGCCGCGGACCTCTCCCGCTCCCCCGATCGTTCCCCGGCACTGGCCGAAGATCCCGAGCGGTTCCCAGCACTGGCGCCGCCTGCGCCTTGCGCAGCGGCCCGCCCCCAGCGGCAGCGTCCGACATCACGGAGCCGCTGAGAGAAACCGTGGAGGATCGGGGCGGAGGAGCCCCGTGGCGCGGGCTCGGAGCAGGAGGAGGAGGAGTTAAGGTGCCCCCGGAGCAGGAGGAGGAGGAGGAGGAGGAGGAGGAGGAGGAGGAGGAGGGAGGAGGACGAGGAGGAGGAGGAGGAGGAGGAGAGAGGAGGAGGAGGAGGAGGAGGAGGAGGAGGAGCAGGAGGGATGAAGAATGAAAGGGGCCCCGCCTTTCCAAGAAGGGCGATAAGGGGGCGGGGCGAAGGGGGGAAACCTGAGGGAGAGTGGAGGCGTGTTCTTCTCACCCCTCCCGTCTGGCACAATGCGGGAGGGCCTTCCTGCTTTCCGCCCTCCTTCTTTCGTTCCCTCCACGTTCCCTCGCTCCCTCCCCTCCCCCTCGCATCCCTGAACGGGCGCACCCTCCCCCCTGCTCTGGAAAGGGAAACCCCCACACCGACTGGATAACTGATCAGAGGCATCCCGGATGGGGTCGGCCGATCGCGTCGCATCGCCGATGCATCGGCGATGCATCCGCGATGCATCGGCGCCGCCAGCGCGTCGCCCGCGTGAAGAGGACGGGCTGAACATCGAGCAGCATCGGCGATGCATCAGCGATGCGGCGCGATCCACCGACCCCATCTACTCGGACCCCACTTGGCATGCCCGGGTCCTAACATCGCTCTGCCTCATGCTCCCTTTCCCTGAACCGACCCAGCAGCCCCCGCCCAGCGCTATTCCCCCCCTGCCCGCGTGCAGCGGGCGGAGCTACGTGGGGCGAAGATGCGTCCGCCCACCGCCGCCGCGGCCGCCACAACTGCCGCGACCCAACGCGGGGCGGGGGGACGAAGGGGAACCAGCGGGCCGCTCTGGTGACGCCCTGGGAGCTCTCTGGAGCGCCCTGGAAGCGCCCGGCGAGCGTCTTGGGAGCGTCTCGGGGGCACGCTGGGGCGCCCCGGGACCTGGGGGCGTCCTGGGAGCGCCCTTGCGGGCGCCCTGAAAGCGCCTCGTGAGCGCCCTAGGAGTGCCTTGGGAGCGCCTTGGGAGCGCCTTGGGAGCGCCTTGGGAGCGCGTTGGGAGCGCCTCGGGAGCAAGCGCGGCCATGCGCCCCGAAGCCCCCCGCCCCCGGTGGGTGTCCGCCCCCGGTGGGTGTCAACCTGCCCCCCCGAGGTCTGCGCCCCCCTCCTCCTCCTCCTCCTCCTCCTCCTCCTCCTCCTCCTCCTCCTCCTCCTCCTCCTCCTCCTCCTCCTCCTCCTCCTCTCCTCCCTCCTCCTCCTCCCTCCTCCCTCCTCCCCCTCCCTCCTCTCCCTCCTCCCTCCTCCTCCTCCTCCCTCCTCCCTCCTCCTCCCTCCTCCTCCTCCCTCCTCCCTCCTCCTCCTCCCTCTCCCTCCTCCCTCCTCCCTCCTCCTCCCTCCTCCCTCCTCCCTCCTCCTCCTCCTCCTCCCTCCTCCCTCCCCCTCCCCTCCTCCCTCCTCCCTCCTCCCTCCTCCCCTCCCCCTCCCTCCCTCCTCCCTCCTCCCTCCTCCCTCCTCCCTCCTCCCTCCTCCTCCTCCCTCCCCCTCCTCCTCCTCCCTCCCTCCCTCCTCCTCCTCCCTCCTCCCTCCTCCCTCCTCTCCTCCTCCTCCTCCTCCTCCTCCTCCTCCTCCTCCTCCTCCTCCTCCTCCTCCTCCTCCTCCTCCTCCCTGGGGGCAGGCCATGGCCACCCCGTGGCGCTCAGGCCACCACGAAGGAGGGTGTTTTGAGGCATCGGGTCTCGCCGTCGTCCATTCGTCGTCGACGGTCGGTCGTCGCCGTCGTCGTGATCGTTCTCGTCGTCGTCCTCATCGGCGCTGCCGTTCTCGCCGTAGTCCGCTTCGTCGTCGTTCTCGTCGTCGCCCGTCGTCGTCTTCCAGCGTCGTCGTCATCATCGTCGTCGTCCTCCTCGTCGTCGTCATCGCCTTCGTCGGCGTCCTTGTGGTCCTAGGCGTCATCGTCAACATCGCCCTCCTTCTCCTCCTCCTCCTCCTCCTCCTCCTCCTCCTCCTCCTCCTCCAACTCCTCCTCTTCCTCCTCCTCCTCCTCCTCCTCCTCCTCCAACTCCAACTCCAACTCCAACTCCTCCTCCAACTCCTCCTCCAACTCCTCCTCCTCAGCTAGCGCCTCCCGCAGCTCTTCCCTTTTCTTAGACATGCTGCGGAGACGAAAGGCAGAGATGTCGGACAACTTCCGTTTTGTGGCTCCCTTTACCCCGACTGCGTTGGCCCATGGGCCCTTCTGGGTGGGGGCCCTAGCGGTGGCACGCCCTCGAGGGGCTTTTGGCCACACGCCGACAACAATCAGTTACATGAACAGAACATATTGGAGCTCCGCGCGGATTTATTGGATCGGCGCTGGGACCCCCTCCGCGGCGTGCGGAGTGCGCCAGGGGCGGCGCTGGAGGCGCCGCCGAGGGCCTCCAACGCCGATCAAAGAAATCCCTGCGGACATCCAGAAGTTTATGCTTATGCCATTGCTTGTGCCCCGAATTTTAGCAACACATGTGACGCACATGTGGGCACTCCTGGAGATTGTTTTTACAATATTTTGGGTAGCGGTCGTATCTGGAAGGGGGCGGGTAACGGTAACGCTGGGGCGGGGTGGGGAGCGTCGGGGCCGGGGTGCGCTGCGATTGCAGCAGCATGCGCGCAAACACCACACTGTATGGGGGGTCCAGCCCCCCTCTCTCCGTACGATCGTTACCGTTGCACGGGTGGGGAGAGTGGGCCCGGGCCTTAGTGGGCCCTGGAAACGACAGGGCCGTTTTTGTTACCGGTTCCGTTTTGCCGTTTTTTTGCCGGTTCCGACGCCGTTTTTTTACCCGTTCCATCGCCGTTTTTTGACCGGCTCCGGCTCCAGTTCCCATCCTGGAGCTGTTTTTTTGCCGTTTCCGGTCGCCGTTTTTTTGCCGTTTCCATGTTCAAGGGACATTTTTTTGGAAACGGTGAAAAAACGGCCCTGCCGTTTCCGGGGCCCACAAAGGCCCGGGCAGCGACCGTTACGCGCCAGAGGGCAACAGAAGCAACCTCACGCCTCCCTCCCCCCTTCTCGGGTGCTGCTCGAGGTACTCCTGGCCCACGGTGCCCCCAGGACTTTCAGGGAGGCCACCAGGGCCTCCAGAGTGAAGCCCAAAGCTGGGGACACCTTGGGCCAGGGGCACCTTTGGCAGCCCCCGACCTTCGGAGCGCTTGCGAGGAGCCTGCCGGATCGGGTCCGGCTCCACGCACGAGCCGACCGCCTCGACGCCCACACCCGCGCGCGCGAGGGCGGGGACTGGGCGCCGTTGAGGCTGCGTGGCGGAATGTTGCCCAGAATGTGCTCGAAGATTGGGGAGGGGGTTGGGGGACGTCCCCAGGGCGTGTGGGGAGGGCTTCTTCGGCCACTGCTGGGCCTCTGGGAGGTCAGAAAGCCACCAGGGACATCTGGAACGTAGGTGAGGGGGAGGAGGAGGGGGAGGAGCAGGATGAGGAGGAGGCCGAGGAGGAGGAGGCCGAGGAGGAGAATGAGGGGTCGGAGCAGGAGGAGGAGGGCAGACAACGTACGATCTTAACCTCCCCCTCCCCGGTCCACGCCTCCCTTTGACATGTGTTTATTCCCCTCCCTCCTCCCCTACTCCCCCCTCGCCCTCCTCAATATACAATGTGAACTTGAACTCCCCTCCTTCTCCGCCTCCTCCTCCTCCCCCATCCTCCTCCTCCTCATCATGTCTTCCTCATCACCCGCATCCTCTCCCTTCCCAGGGCCCTTCCCGTCCTCCATCTCCACCTCCTCCTCTTCCAACTTGCCCTCCTCCTCCGCATCCGCCTCATCCTCCCTCTCCTCTCCCCTCTTCTCCGACTCAATCCGGCTTTCTCTCTGCATCCCCCACTCCCTCTATGCGTCCCCCACTCTAGCTCCGCCTGCTCCACCACCATCTCTTCTCCTGCTCCTCGTCCTCCTCCACCACCACGTCCTCCTCAAGCTCCTGGTCCTCCTCCTCCTCCTCCTCCTGCACCACGGGTCGTCGGTGAAGAAGAGGGGAGGAGACATAACAGTCGAATCGGTGATCTTCGACAAAACACGCATATACTGCAACTACATTGGTTACCTGACGGCTCACTCCAGGATGACACACTCTTACCGCATAGACCGCCCTTCGGGTGATAAGAGGCTTGGGGGGATGGGCACAGCCGTGGGTTTGCGCGATTGGCGTCCGATCAGCTTGGCAGTCCATCTCTCGACCGCGCGATCCACCGAACTCCCAAATACCACAATCGGGACAGCCGTCTGGACAACTCCGGGCCAGCCCTCGGGACAACCGCGGGAGCCAGGGCTGGACGCGGGGCAGCTTGCTGAGATCGCTCTCGGTGCTCCGCGCGAGTGTCCTGGATCGGCGCTGGAGACCCTCTCCCTGGCGCGCGGAGCGCGCCGGGGGCGGCGCGGGAGGCGAGGCCAAAGGGGGACCAGCGCAGATCCAAGACATCCGCGCGGAACTCCGAGAAATGACGCTCGCGCCGCCTGCGGTTCTTCGACGCGTGCGGGCCCGCAGCCAGCGCAGCCCGGCCACGGCGGGGGCCCACGAGGCGCGCAGCCCCCGTGCGCTGGCACCGGCGCTGAGGTGAGAGCGGCTTCCTCCACAGCTCCGAGGACGGGAACCGGGGGGGAGCAGGATGAGGACGTGGATCCGACATGGTGTGGCGAGCGATGGCCTCCCCCTCGGGCAACTGCGCTCAGACGGCCCCGTCCTCCTCGACCGCACACGGGAAGAACTTCGCAGGCGCGCCCGCCGGGGGTCAAGGAGGGTAGACTCAACCGAGGGCACGCGAGAGATGGCTCGCGCTTTCAGTGCTCCACCTTCGAGGCGCGCCCCAACCGCCGCACTCTCCCTGCGTGCAGCACCTCGTGGCCGGTGTGGGTGGCCGCGCCTCCGACTGGCACCTGACGCCGCCGCTCGCAGCCGCCGTCCGGCTGCCACACCGCCACGCCAGGCCAGACCTCGAGGGCGGCGGTCGCGCGGCGCTGCCGCTGCACGGCTGGACGCGGACCCGGCCTGAGCTGCACTGGTTGGCAGGATGCGCCGCGGCGCGGTTCTCGACCCGCAGACCACACTCCCGAGCAAGCACACCCAAAAAGAAGCCGAGGAAACTCCTGATCCGCACTCCATCCGCCAAGGAGCGCACGCAGGGAATTTCATTGCACATCGTACGAACCTCACGGTTGATAAGCGCAATCGTGGTCGTCGTACTCGCACCTGGGACTCGCAATGTAGACGATGCCAACACGTCGGGATCCTCGTCGCGGGCGTCGATGTGAAATAGACCGCCGAAACATCCGCCGCCCTGCCCAGCATTAAGATCCTGGCCAACCCAATCTGGATCAACCATGCGATGTTGAGCCCGCGAAAGAAAAAGACTCCGAACAGCCGTGCAACGCACTCTGCACGAACCCTTTCAACAATTCGCGTTTACATGGAAATATCCGAGCGCCCCCGAGGTTATAAGATGCTTGCTTCGCCGCCTTCTCATCGATCCCACCCCCTCTTCTTCCTCATCCTCTCTGACCCGCTCCGCATGCGGGCGCCAGTGGGGCCACGTGTACTTCCGGGACGAGGTCGTCCTGGAAGAGCACCAATGACGGTCGGTGCGACAATGTCTCGTAGCCCGGTGCCCTGCTGCACAAGACCTGTGCACACACAGGGAAATGAGACGAGCAGTGAAGGAGGAGGATCAGGAGAAGCAGGAGTGAGGAGGAGGCGGCAGGATGAAAGAGCAAGGAGGGACCAACATGAGGGGGAAGGAGCGGACCGCACACCAGCCAACCTCACCCTGCCATCGTCTCAAGACATACCTCCTCTCTTCCAAACAATGCAGGTCAAACGCTGTGCAACTTGTCGCTGGCAACGAGTCTGTGCCAGAACATGCAGAGGCAAGGGCTGGAGAGCCAAGCAGGCAGGCAGCACACCCGCGTTCGTGAGATGGCCAAGGGGCCTTTCGCTCTCGCTTGGCAGGGAGAGCGCCTGCAGGCTATGCAGGGCGTGTGGCGCCCCTGCAGCTGACGGATATCGACGGCGACGTCCGAACCCTACAGTCATCGGCCTGACCTAAGGAACGATAAATAAGGAACGAAGCCCCTTTTTCATCCCAAGGAATAACGCATAAGGAACGAGAAACAATACATAACGCATAAGGAACTGTAAATAACGCATTCAAACCTAAGGAACGACCGAGCCCCTTTTGAAAAGTAAGTGTTCCTTATTCAAGCCGCTCATTGTACCCCACCAACCATCGATTCTCCAGAGCCCAGGGGAGCCAGGGGTCAGGGTCGGGTTTCACCACGTGTTCAACGAATTCCGAAGCCAAGGGCCTTTCGCTCTCGCTTGGCAGGGAGCGCCTGCAGGCTGTGCAGGGCGTGTGTGCGCTCCTGCAGCCGACGGATATCGGCGGCGACGTCCGAACCCTACCGTCGGGGGCGTTGACCTAAGAGACCCTAAATAAGGAACGAGGCCCCTTTTTTCCACAAGTTAACCTTCGATTCCCCATCGAAAACCTAAGGAAAACCCCAGGCAAGCTGCAAAATAATCGAGGAACACCGAGCCCCTCCCCAACGAAAAGCGTTCCTTCTTCAGCGCCCCGACTGTACCATCGATTCTCCAGAGCCCCCGGGAGCCAGGGGTCAGGTCCAGAATTCACCACGTGTTCGACGAATTCCGAACCCTGTCCCCGCCGCCAATCCACTTGCGTGAATCGTTGACCGGAGAGGGTCGGGCTCTGATCCCGCCGCCGAAACATATACCTTTAAGATACAATCGTAACCCGAGGGGTGGGGGGGCTGCTCTTCTACTGCGGCTGCGCGCACGGCTGCAGGGGGAGGCCCTGGTGTGTATTCGTGAACATCAAACTCGAATGTATATATATATATATATATATATACACACGTATTCATTCACTCGGTTTTTGTACTCATTCCCTTGTCGCCATCAACCAGCGACCCACACCGCGGCTCGCACACGACGTGCCCCGCATCGCGCCTTACATCCGCAATCGCGGGGGGCCTATGCAACTTCCTCCTGCCTTTAGCGGGCCCTGGGAACGACAAAGCCGCTTCTTTTAACAGCTCCATTTTGCCGTTTTGTTGATGGTTTCGGCGACGTTCTTTTCTCTGTTTCCGTCGCTGTGATGGTTTCCGGTTCTGGTTCTGGTTCTTTTCCATTTCCGGTTCTGGTTTCAATCCTGGAACAATTGTTTCATCGGTTCCGGGAACAGATATGTTACTGCGGTCACGCACCAAATCTTGCCAACTGGAACAATACAGCCCTCGTCTGAGGCCCAATAATAGCTCTCCCCCCCTCGCTGGAAAGTGCTTCCTCGTTGTTCCCGACATCGGATCCAGAGAATGTGCCCCAGGAGATCCAAGGACTCCTGCCTGTCCCTGAACTCTCTTCAAGAATTGATCTCCGCTCCCTGGGCCACGACACTTATCAAGGGCAATTGACTCTCGCAATCGGGGCCATCATCTTTCCAAGAATGCAACAACGGCCATCGCTTGTTACTCTCGCGCGGGCACTGTATTGCGGGGCCCTGGAACGGATCAGCTCCAAGCGGGATGTATTGCAGGTAAGCAAAGGAGGAGATTAAGCGGCAGGGTCTTACGACGGTAAGACAAGCAGCTAGTAGCTAGCAAACGGTCCACTGGTCGCTGCGGCTCGATGCTACCACTGGCATTGGTTTATGTACTGGTGCATGGATCAATCACTGCTGAACTGCTCATGAATTTGGCAACCATTTTGTCCGACATGCTGGGTGGTAGCGAAGCGGTGGCCGAACATCGTACTGAATAATGCTCGTACACGTGATGGCTCGTTTCATCCGCCGTAACCGAATCAATTGTACATGCCTCCTCGACGACAGGGTACTTACCAAGGGCTCGCCACATGTACAGTCGGACCTAGACAGGAGAACGTCCTTCGAGAACATGAACTCCCCCGACGGTCAAAATGAAAGCATTCGAGGGTACACTCGCACAAGAACATCCAACAACCACGAAGAACGTCAGGGTACGCTCCCCGAAACGACCTCGATCTTGTATCTCGGTCCGACTGCACGCGCAATGACTGAACATCGCCCAAACCATCTGATGGCACCAGAGATGTGTGCGCGTCTACCCTCCACGCCCATACAACATCACACATCAGACCCGAAGCCACAACATGAAATCACGTGGGAAACACCGACTGTCCGGCGCATGCGGGAGGCAACGGACGATGCCACAAGGGGAGAACATACGAGAGAGCAGATCAGACGGGAGACGAGACGGGTTACCGTTAGGGAGAGGATACGGGGGACCAAACGGAGGAAGAGGAAGAGGAGGAGGAGGAGGAAGAGGAGGAAGAGGAAGAGGAGGAGGAGGAGGAGGAGGAGGAGGAGGAGGATGCGGGAGCACGTTCGAACAAAAAACATGCGGGGGACCAAACGGGACGCCATGCGGGAGACCAGACGGGAGGCCACTCGGGAGGCCACACGGGGGAGCAGAACCGGGAGAGCATGCGGGAAGCTGTGCGCGAGACCACGCGGGAGACCCTGCGGAGAGACCATACGCAAGACCATCAAATCGCAGGAGTCTGGGGCTGGCAGCGCACCAACATCGGGAGCCCATTCGGGAGACAATCAAGTCGGTGACTCAGGGGTCAGTACAGGGCCACCCTGCCCTTCTCGAGAGCCACACGTTGAGAACCCTTGCAGGCAAGCTGTTTGCGGGAAATGCATGTGTGCTGCAAGCCCATCGTGTAAAATGCGCGCAGCAGCTAACAACTCTATGACCTGTGCCTTCTTGTACGTGGCCATCGCAGTCTTGAGAGGCTCCCCAAGAGCTTTCAGTTCTGCCGGCTCCAAGGGGGTCCTCCAAATGTGCACACATCTTGTGAATCTAATATAGAAGGGCGGTCGCGCATTCACAATTTGCGACACGCGGAACAACATGCACACACGCACGTCGATAACATCGACTGAAACCACGCGAACCAACAACATAGCCCAAATCATGGCGTGCTGTGTGCTGGGACAAAGTCGCACGTCGCGCTGTCACTGCAAGAAGCCCTCTCCAGAATTGACATGGATCCCCCGACCTGGATCCATTTCGATGTGAGGGCTGATGCTGAAACCAAACTAGCCAACCCGATCCAGCACAGAACGTGGGTAGCCTTGGTGGCCCCGATCGGCCGATCTACACACTGATCGTCCAATGCGCTGGTAGTCGGTAGTCTGTCAAGGAAGAGAATACGCTGCTGACCTTCGGTGGCCTTTCCCGCGCTCATGCTCGTCATGGTGCCCTCCTGCTTCCCCTCCTATCTGTTCATCTCTTCCTCCTCATCCTCCTCTTCTTCATCATCATACTCCTCATCCCTCCTACCTCCCTCCTCCCTCCCTCTCAACCTCTCTCCCTCCCTCCTCCCTCCTTCTCCTCCTCCTCCCGCACCACCCTCCACCTCCGAACACATACATAATGTAATAAACTATTTAGCGTTCCATGTAGTCTTGGCTGGCCACGGACAGGGCACCTAGACAGAATTGTCAGAGCGGGCTTCTGTTCACAGCCAGCATCCGGCCTCCGTACAAGTATCCGCAACATTGACCCCCAGCCCAAGACACACGCCTCAGCTTGCCGCGCCCCGTGGCCAAATTTCACGGCATTTGCTCTGCAAGGGCAACCGCACCGGACCCGTCGATACAGCATCAAGGGCGCCTCACTTCGCGCTTCGCGCTGCGCGAAGCGCGAAGAACTTCGAGCCCTCGTGCCGCCCCCAAAGGGAGAAGAGGACGAGGAGGAATCGGAGCCGAACCGCGAAGCGCGAAGCGCGAACAACTTCGCGCCCTCGGGGGCTCCCTTGCGGCATGCACCTCTCCAGCGCTGGCGACGCTGTTGGAGGCCTGGAACTTGGCACCAACACCAGCACAGGGCGTTTGCCTCCACATGGGGAAGATGACCTAAGATTTCGGTGTTGGTGGTAATATTTCGGTCGCCTTGGGAGCCAGAATGCGACCACCATCACCGAGATCGGGATCGGCCTCCCTCGGTGGAGGCACACCGCCGACCTTGGTGTTGGTGCCAACCTCCAGCGCCAGCGACGCTGCTCCTGGGTGCGGGGGCCTCGCCTTCCTGGCTGGAGGAGGCTGCGGGGGCCTCCCGCCCTCCCTCGGTGCGCATCTCCGCGCGGGCGCCGGCGAGGGCCTATCCGCTCCCTGGGAGGCCCCCCCGCACGGGCCTCCTGCAGGCCTGGCCGGAGGTGCCGAGAGGCCCCGGCCATCGCCCCAGGCCCGAAGAGGGCCAAGAGTGTCCAAGAGCCTCGATCGTCGGTTCTCCATCCTCGGAGAGATGCAGTACCAGCACAGGCCGGCTCCTCGCGGCCCGCGCGCTGGACGAAGCCAAGGCGCTCCCGCGCGGCGCGGGCGCTGCAGGCATCGGCGCAGCCGTGGCCGAGCCCAAGGCGGGCGTGCGAGCGGCAACCCCCCGAGCGGCGGTGGGGTGACCAATTGTGCGCCTCGTCCTCCTCCTCCGCCGCCTCCTCCGCCGCCTCCGCCTCCTCCTCCTCCTCCTCCTCTTCCCATCGGGGTGTAGCTTGCCGCTGGCCCACTGAGATGGCGCCCCCCACAGTGGTGCAAAGAGGTCATCTCCGATAGCCGCACCCCGTTTTTTGTCTCCATCTGACCTTCTCTGACCTCTCTTGTGGCAGTGCTGCTTCTCCTCCTCCCTCCGGTCCCGAGGGTGGGCCAGCTAGGAGTCCGAGCGTGAGGCGAGGGAGCCGTGCGGAGCAGTCGGAGCTGCGCCGGGAGTGCGTGCACCAGCGGCCGCCCACCTGACAGCTGAGGTGCTGTGAAGGGCGCTTCGCGCCCGCCCTCCTGGCGGGCATGACTCCTCACGGGCGCGCCGGCGTGTTCCCACGCTGCCACGATGGCACGCGAGGCCTGGCAGCGGCGGCGAGGCGGTGGCGTCTGGAGGCGGCGAAGCTCGCGGGTGCTGCTCGCGCAAGCTGGGCGGCACCTGCGGCTAGAACGCCTCCAGCGGGGAGGAGCGGGGGATGAACGGATGTTCTCCGACGCCTTCTCCGATACCCTGCTCCGACGCCCGATCTGGCCCTAAGTCCGAGTTGGGCACAGACTTTCTCAAAGGTGGAGGCGTTGCAGCGGTGTGCCCTGATGAGGGCAGTGCCAGAAGGCAAATTCCCAACCACTTCGGCGCTTCGAGCCATTCGGTTGCTGAAGATTCTGTGTCGCTGCAACGGGAAGGATGACCTTGCAGTCGCGGTTCAGCACTAGCGCCCTGGCGACGTCATCTGCCCCTCGAGCTAGTCTGTTGGGAGCTCCAGCCGCGCCTCTCGAGGTCTCATAGATGGGGTCCGAGGAGATGGGGGCGGAGGATCGCACCGCAACGCCCATGCATCAGCGATGTATCGCCGATGCATGAGCGATGCACGGGCGGCGTCGGCGATGCATCATCGCCGTCGGCGTGGAGAAAATCGGGTTCCACATCTGGCTGCATCGCCGATGCATCGGCGATGCGGAGCGGAGCGATCCTCCGACGCCCTCTACTATACGTTTTGGAAAGGCTTGGTTTTCTAAGAACTGGGCCCCCCCCCCCGGCCAACCCTCCTGAACCTGGCCAACCTTCTGCGGGCACGCTCGGACTGAGTTTTCTGGGCCAACCCTTCAGGACAACCCCCAGGGATCTGGCCAACCCTCCCAGCCACCCCCTCTTGCCGTCCCTGGTCACGCAAGTTCTTCCAAAAGACAGAATACAATGAATTCGTAGAATAAGGACCCACGATAAGGATGCAAGGGACTTGGAAGGCCATGCCGACACTCTGCGGGCGGGGCGCGGCCAGCGAAAGCAGCCAAGGATGAGGCCGAAGTGCAAGGATGCAAGGATATCCTCCTCAGCTACCCCGAAATGTAGCTCGCAACACCTAGCGTATTGAAGTGGAGCTCAACACGTAGACTGAACACGTAGGTCCGACGCGATACGTTCGCCAAAACGTGGGGCCAATACGTCGAACCAACACGTAACGTACTGACACAAACGATTTGAGCACGGCACGTGTTGCGTATCGGCGCCAGCTAGTCGAGGCAGCTAAGGCAACCTTGGAAAACTGCTCATCCATACTATGCGGGTCGACCGTAATCCACGCTGCTTTGACCCATGCCCCAGACCACCGACGCCATGATTTTGTTCAGAACGTCGACCCTCAGAGATCTCGACCCGTTCCCCTGGACCCGCTGTTCTTCCTGCGCAGTTGCTTGAAAAAGTCCCCAAGGCCGGTGAAGGCCTCTGGAGCCCCAAAGTACTCCAGATTTTGTAATACATGGAGGGGGGTCTCATTTCGGGGGGGGGCCTCTTCCAGGCTATCTTGGAGGGCCTGGGGGGGTCTGGGGACGATGTTTTGGAGGGTTCTCCCACGGGGGGGGGGTCTAAAACTTCTCGTCTGGGAGGGTTGAGACCCCCTCCCTTTGATAACGAAATCTGGAGTACGGAACGACCCCCCGTCGTGCTGCCTGCAATGCCCGAGGGGGCCCTGGGCTCCGCGCTGCCCCGAGATCAGGGGCCCGGAGAGCCCCCAGCGCTGCGGCAATGGCCGGGGTCGGCGCGGGGCACCCCTCCCCGCTCCCCCTTGGAAGGGGGAGCGACAGCGTCCACACACGTACAGTCGGCCTGCTGAAATGAAGGGGCCCTGGGACACACAAATAAATACACACAAAGAGAAAGATTCCCCATATTTTTCCATATTTTCTGGGTTTTTGTCTTCCCCACCACTTCCCATATTTTCCCATATTTTCTGGGGAGTCGACGATTAATTGTGTCTGTGTGTTTCTTCCCCTCCTGATGAGAGAAGGAACGGTAAACAAGAAACGAAGCCCCCTTTTGGCCCCACAGGCGCCTGCGTGCACGAGGAAGGCTGACTGGAGGAAAAGCCACTGAGGAATACCGAGCCCCTTTCGTACCCAAACTGTTCCTTCTTTCGGCGACCTGACTGCAGTGGGGATGCGCGGTGAGGGTGCAACGGGGCATCGGAGGCCCACGCCGAGGCTTCTCGAGCGGGGCCGGCCGTCGAACATGGCCGCGGATGGACCGGAGAGGACCGAAGAGGCAAGGATGCAGTG